AGAGGATATGAATGGGGATCTGCAGGCGATTTAGAATTGGTTTGATGCTATAATAGGAATAGGCTCTGTTTTAACATCGGAAAAACCAGGTCCTAAAGTGGAACTAGAATATGACATTGTCTATAGAGACAGGATCAGGCTACTAGACACATAAGTTTCAATGAGACCAGTTTACTGTTACCCTGATACCCACGTCACTGCTAGATGTTATTAAAATTCGTGCAGCTCGGCTGAACTTGGCTTTGACAGCACCGCCTGGATTCGCTGAGACCGGGTATACTAAGCTTATTCGTCTTATTATTCCCTAGGTGTCTAGTAGGCTGGTCCAGTCTGTATAGACTTAAGCTTACTAAAGGACCGCTGAGTCAAATTATCAAGCAGTAAAATCAAACGCAAACGCATTTAAATCTTCTGGATTTTTATTTGCCAACTCTGTAGCTTTTTCTTTAACTTTCTAGAGTCGTTTCCTCGATAGCACGATCACTTGGGAAAACCAAAATCAGCTGTCACAGTATTAAGACTCACAAATGTTTTCCAATCTGTGTTATAATAATTGTATGAATAACTTGGAAGAGTTCAATTTCCAAATGTGTTTTGGAATCGAAAAGATGATGATATTGATAAGTATAAAATGCGGAAAACGCTCTTTAAAGTTTTGGTGTGTTGCGCAAAAGGCGCTTTACGCTTACGATTACTGACAGATTGCGCCCTTCTGAATCTTGCGCCCGTGGCAAATGCCACCTTCGCCACGCACTTGTTACGGCACTGCCGACAAGTGCCGTGACTCAGAGGTCTTCAATGTATGAGAGAAGAAAGATATGCAACCATTTTTTTCGCGAAGTCAGATGCTTGATATCACTAAAATCATTCAGAGTGCGTCTCAAAAATCTTCTGATGGATAAAGGTCTTTTACAGCCTGGATGAATTTTATGCTGATAAATTGCTGTAACTATAACTATATACTGAAATATAACTGACATTTTGAAGATCTGGGTAAGTTTTTGTGCCGCTTCTAAATGTGTTTTCCAATTTCACCACTTTTGCTTTAGTTTCGGTAAAATGAGGGCAGCTTTAGAATTTTAAATATACCTAACTTATGGTATATTTATGAGAATTTTTCGTTAGAAAATTAAATTACAAAATCCGCAATGCCATACTTGTTAAGGCTTTGTTAAAAAAAATGATAAATAAATTACAAAGAGGACCATACGATGACGCGTTCCGAAATTATCATCTGGGTAAAACCTCGTGGGACAACCTGTATACAGGGTTCCAAAGTCCCAACTATTTCATAGGGACATTATTATTGCTATCTCGGGAACAATTGAAGTTACGAGGGCGCTTAAATTAGCCATTTTTGAAGAATAATAAAAATATATTTTCGCTGTTGCCAAATTTCTATTAGTTTCGCAAATACAGGGTGATTTTTGAAAATCAGCAAAAACAATTTTATCAAATATTTTAAAATCTATTGATTTTAGAGATATAGTTTAAACTCAGAACTATATTATTTTTTTAATATTCTTCAAAAATGGCAACTTTTTTCTAATTTAAACGCCCTCGTAACTTTAACCGTTCCCGAGATAGCAATGCTGTCTCTATGAAATAGTTAGGACCCTGTATAATATATTTTTCACTTTCCCCCTAAACGAAAATGCGAAGTTGATGAAATGTTTTAAGATAATAAAGCTATTTTTGATTTGATATATTTAGTTGACGTGTACTGATGTGGATATAGTCACTGGTCTCAACATTTTGGTACTTGGGTAATTATTAAAATACTTACATCTTAAAAATTAATCTGTGTCGAAAAGAGGATTTTTACATATTAAATTATTTAATTTAGAGATGCAACTGCAATAAAATTAGGCAACTCAGAAACTATTCAGTGCCTAATATTCGGTTTATTCCGCAAACTTTTCACTTTTTGGCCTCAAAACTACATATTGAATATTGAAGCAAAAACTGTTTCCCTAGAAAAAAGTAGATTTACAAACATAGTAAGGTCACTCCCAATAGAAAATTTAAAAGAAAATCAAAATCCACTCCTGCATGGCCTTCCAAATTCTTCCAGGCCTTTGTATCTTTAGCAATTTGTATCGAATTACCTCCTGCGATATTTTCAGTTTGTATGTGATCCCAACATCTTCTCCAAAGTCTTCCAACTCTCCGCTTCCAACTCCTCCTTCGGCCACAATCCATGTAATGTGTGTCAACTTGTGCCGATCTTTGTCTCAGTATAGGGTACATATATAAAAGTAACTATACGTGGGGATTTCGGAAACGGTAGGAGATACAATTTTGGTTAAATGGGAAAAAAGCCCTGTACCAGCAGCACAAACGACTCAAATACCTACTTTCCTTTTCAGATTTATGGGGAGATTTAAGTAAGAATAAATCCTAGCTGCCTTTTCTTCTTGAAATATCGGAAAAATGGTTTCCTTCACTGAGCTGAATTTTATGTCCAAAATAGATTCACTTAGGAGCATTTTCTCAGAGATGATCGTTCCATTTTCCTGGATGTCTTTTCTCTACCTACTCACGGTTCTTGAGCTCTTTGCTTGTGTACACATCCTCCGAAAATCATAAGATTCACTTCATCGATATTGCGATCCCCACTTTGCCAGTCCAACTTTTTGAAGAAAACCTCCAAAGTTATAGTCATAGTGACCATGTCTTACTCCTTTGTTAATTGGTACCTTTTCAGTTTTTGGATCCTCATCTATGTCCACTAGGATGGAGGTATTATATCAATTATCATGGCGGGCAGAGAATTAGATGAACTAGACACGCAATAGTAGATGCAAAGGCAAATACAAGCCACTGATTTGTTTTGAACATGTACAGAGAATGGCAGATATGAAAATACCCAGGCAACTAATTGAGTGGAAGCCAGGGGAAAGAAAAAGACGTGGCAGACCGAGAAAAAATTGGGAGTAGTGGAGAGGATGAGGAAATGAGAGACAGGCGCTTTGACGAGGATGCCTGAAATGACTGGGACGATCGGAAATCGGGAATAAGAAGACGTAGAAAAGTTATCCAAAAAAGCTAAGTGTAGCGTCATAATATATACTCCGTTATTTTGCCTCCTCTACGAAATCCTGCATGTTCAACTGCGGTTGATAGGGAGTCTATTCTGTTGGTCAGGTGGTTCGAATTTATTTATGTTAACAACAGCCTATAGGTACAATTATTTTTTGTACGACCCACACTGTAAGCTATAATAGCTTATTACGTAACCCATATTAGCCAAGTTACGTTATGAAAGTGTATTATCGTACTAGTGATGTAATAATGAGCTCATTATATCACTAGTGATTTAATAAGCTCATTACGTAACTCATTTTTATTACAGAAACAGCAATTTTTTACAATTTATTTATTCGAAAAAATTATAAATAGGTACCTATAAAAAGTACTAAAAACTTTCGAACGCTTTGGATAATAAGAGAAGTGCTTTGCACCGTTGCTTGAGGTACCTACCTACTTGCTGAGGAAATATTTTTTTTCAGCCTAGAGCTTTGAGGTCACCAAATAATTGGTTGTGAAAAATCAAAACCATTTTGAATACATGAAATAAAAATCTGGGGCTTAGATGAAATGTTGCATATTATACGTACGGTATATAACGCTCATTATAGCACTCGTGTGGGAACCACGTCTCGGTCTATGACGTCGTCGTGGCAATATTCCCCAACTCGTTACTGTAATGAAGCTCATACCGTACTATTAATATAAATAACAACCTATGGGGCAGTCCAACAAGATTTCAATATGGCCGCTGCAGGAGAAAAAAGCCGGTTGCCCTATATACATACTTGGTGCTATTCAGTTCTATTTGAAGCGTTTTGATTTTTTTCCTGGTACCTAATTTTATATTATTTTCATATTTTGAACTGATTTATGTATTGCGATCATTTCGTGTCCTTGTAAAGATATGTTTTACTTTCGTGGGTTAGAGATTTATGTATCTTTGTGTTGTAATAGACATATAAAAATAAGCGATTATTATATGCCGAGAACTCTGAGAGTTGCCGAGCAACTAGCAATACCGCTACAACCTACCACACACCAAAATGCAGGCGTTTTGATACATAAAATTAACAAATTATATTGGAATACTTCAAATTTCCATAAGGATGCATGGTAAACTTACATTTGTTTATCCTGCAGCAGCCATTTTTATTTCGTTTTTGACAGTTCGTTGGAGTGCGCCCTATTACATTATTAGCCAGCTGAAACACTTTTCACTAGCGATTGGAGGAAATGACTGTCAGACTGTTAAGGGCACCACCCACACGCTACGTTCTTTCTCGTCGGTTTTCATCGACGCGATGAAACGCGACGATCTAAAACCGAAGTGTGTGGTAGAAAACCGTCGTGTCTCAACGTCGGTTTAAAATTCAGTCCGAGCTTGATTTTTGGCACGACGGTTCAACATTTCGTTCCAAAACCGTTGTATGTGGGTCCAACTGCCAAAAAATCGCGTAGTGTGTGGTGAAAACGAGCTGACGATGAAACACGACGTTATAAGTCGCGACAATGAAAACCGACGAGAAAGAAAGTAGTGTGTGGGGCCCTTTACCTTCGAAGAGTCTTGTGGGGAGTTTATGTTTTTTGGTTATTTATATATTTTTTCATTAATAAAAAATTAGGTATAAATTTCATATAAATATGTATTGTATATCGCCCCTAGATTTTTGATAAAACCATCAAATAGATAATTTTGTTTAGCCAACAGAAAGACAAACACAAATCGAACCAACTATATCCCCGATTCTTTTCAAATTGGCAACACTGCTTAGTCTCACAAAAGTAGGCTATTCGATTCATCGCCCGGCCAATTGCAAAGGTAAATCTCCGGTTTTCCTCGATCTAAACAGATATGCTAGACAAAGACAACAACCTACTCTCGGGCGTCCTTGTTTTGGATTATCGAACCTTGGGGGAGGCGATATCCGCAACATCTCAAGGACGTACCTGTCAAGAATTGCAGCTGGGCCTGAGCAGGGTTTCCTCCTCCTCCTGTTGTTTGTTCTTTTCTTTGGGAGTTTTTCCAGACCAGACTGCACTGCATTCGATTTTCCCGGGAAAACAGACTGTTGCTCGTCTCAGATTGTTGTCGACATAAACATTTTTGTGTGATTGCTACATGAGAAATCGAAGTGTTTGTTTTTGTTGTGGATCATGGCAACTGAAACAAATTGTAGGATAATACAAGGAAATTCTGGAAATGTAGCAAAGAAATCTGTTGTAAATCTATTCCCAAAACAAGCCGACTGCTCCTATGTCTCGTGTTACTGGTAAGAATATTTTATAATTGAATAAAGCTATATAGTAAGTAGTAAGGGATTCTGCCAGACTAGAAGCAACTTTTTTGGTCAATACGCAAAATATACACTAGTAGAAGTAGTAGGTAGGCATTAGATATATGAGCCATTAATATTTTAGCATGCAGACTTTAAAAAAAGGAGCAAAAAAAGCAACTACATATTATGCTGTTAATCCCACAATCCATTTGAATTGCTTCAAACTAAAAATTAAAAAAAAATCTCAAACTCAAATACCTACTTTACCAGTTCAAACTGGCCAAGGAATATGATTTACCTATTCAGTTATTTCATTGTCTGTACAACTTGTAGATGAGAGGTCAATGTCGAGTTTCTGTTGTATGTTTTATGTTTGCACTTGTTGGGTCATTTTGTGATGATTTGCTGTTTAGTATATGACCAATAATGATAAAAAAGCCTCAAAAAAATATTCATGAACTGAAATGTCAGCGATTTTTTGAAACTGAGGAGTTTGTTTTACTTTGTCCTTTTCCCACAAACTTTCTATCATTTCAAATCTATTCAAATCTATATCTTAAACTCGTCGCATGAATATTTTGATTTTAAAAATTGTGATTACATCAGTCTGAATAATTTTTTTGGTACTTTTGACTGGTCTCAGGTTCTGAGCTCAGATGATGTAAATACTGATGTGGACATATTTTATGAGATAGTGTATTATAGCTTCGAAATGTTTGTTCCAAAGAAACTATCAAAACGGCCAATATTTCCATCATGGTACAATGATTCTCTGAAGGAATGTATTCTTAGCAAAAGGGCGGCTCATAAAATGTTTAAAGAATCGAACAATGTGAATGACTACAAATATTTCTCTGATTTACAAGCTGAATGCAAGCGCCTGTCTGAAGTTGCCTACCATGAACACATCACGAAAACTGAAAATTGCATTACCCAAAATAGTAAAGAATTTTGGAAATTTGTAAAGAAAAAAAATAACACTTTTGATATCCCTAAAACCATGTTTTACAAGACTGAATCTTCTGATGATGGAAATATTATGGTAAACTATTTTAGTGACTTTTTCTCAACTGTTTATGGCGATAATAATAATTGTGATACTTATAATTTTAATGTAGTTAGGTCGTTATCAATAAGTACTTGTGATTTTAATGAAATTGATGTCTACAATGCAATTGTTAGCCTTAAAGACCATTTGTCTGCAGGGCCTGATAACATAGCTGTGATATTTTTGAAAAATTGTGTATGTATTTTGACCTTTATTTTAAACACTATTTTTACTAAGTCAATGTTAATTGGTATCTATCCAGATGTGTGGAAAAAGTCATTTGTAACTCCTATATTTAAAGGTGGCGAAAAAAGTGATGTTACTAACTACAGGGCAATAAGCAAAATGTCTTTGATAGCAAAAGTTTTTGAGATTATTATAGATTCTAAAATCAAGACTGCACTACAATCAATTTTAAATGAAAACCAACATGGCTTTATTGCTGGAAGATCCACCGTGAGTAACTTGCTTGTTTATGAGCATTTCTTGAATAGTTCTCTTGAGGGGGGTAACCAGGTGGATGCCATCTACACAGACTTTTCAAAGGCTTTCGACAAGGTTAGCCACACTCTGCTTTTGGGAAAGCCTGAGAGGTATGGTGTGTTTGGCAATCTCCTGCAATGGTTCCATAGTTATCTGACCAACAGAAAACAACAGGTGAAAGTAGGCAGTTTTGTTTCTGAAGAGATATTGGTCCCCTCTGGCGTTCCGCAAGGTTCACATTTGGGTCCACTTTTATTTAATATTTTCATCAATGATGAAACAGAGTGCTTGAAATATTCCAAATGTCTTTTGTATGCAGACGACCTAAAGATTTTCAGAGTTATTGAAGATTTGAATGAGTGTTTGAAAATCCAAGAAGATTTAAATGCTTTGAGTGAATGGTGTAATAGAAATGGAATGACATTAAATGTCGATAAATGTTTTATTGTAAGGTTTTATAGATTGAAAAATATTATTGAATTCGATTATTCCCTAGATAATACTTCACTTAAAAGTAAAGAAGAGCTAAGAGACCTTAGGTGTTTTTTTGACAGTAGCTTGAGTTTCAACTTTCATGTTAACTATATAACTAATAGAGCATTAAAATTGCTGGGTTTTGTTAAAAGAACTCTGCAAGATTTTAGTAGTATTGATTGCTTTAGAACTCTATTTTGCTCTTACATAAGGTCAATTTTGGAATATGCTTGTCAGGTTTGGTCTCCTTACTATGGTCAGTATGTTCAACAGATTGAAAGAGTGCAGAAGAGGTTTGTGAAATTTGTTGGGTTTAAATTGGGTATACCAAATGAGAATATTGTATATGAAGAAATACTTAACTCCCTTAATCTTACAACTCTCAGCAATAGGAGAAAATATATTGATATGGGAACCCTATATAAAATCTTAAACGGCTACATAGACTGTCCAGAATTGCTATCTTTGTTAGGGCTTAAAGTGCCACAGAGAAATCTGAGAGGGGTAAACCTGTTTAATGTTCCATTTCATAGAACGAATTATGGTTTATCTTCATCTCTGACACGCTTTTCAGATAGTGCAAATAAATTGCTTGCAAATGGTGATGTAGACATCTTTAATGATTCTTTAAATGTGTTTGGCGCAAAAATAAAAAATATCCTGTGATCGAGCCTGTGATACCAATAAACTAGTTTTATCGAATTTTAATCTTTTAACTTGTACTTATTTTTTATTTATTTTTTAACAACTTTAATTTTTGAATTGGTGTTAATGTGATGCTGGGGACTGTATTAACTGATTTAACTGATATGTCTATATGTTATATTGTTTGATTATTGTATTTTTGATGCTTATTTTTAGTATTAGTCCAATTTCTGTAAATGGCTGGTCCGTTAATAAACATTTATTTATTTATTTTATTTATTTATTAGGATAGAAACTTGCTCCAGAAAGTACCTACCTAATTAACATACCGAGGTGGGAAGTGTTTAACTCCTGTGCAGAGATCTCCATGTCTAAGTTAACTATAATTGCAACAAATTGAACTTCCTACTGACTGAGATTGGATATTATTTTACAAGTTATTTTATTTACAACCATCATATAATTTTAAATACAAACAACAAGGGGTTTCAAGGTGTCATAGGCGTATACATTTTTAAATAAGACTTCAACACTTACTCTCGGGGCCAGAGCTATTACGCACTGTTTGGAGAGTCTTTGTACCATTGTTGTTATCCACTATTCAAATGAATTAATAAATTGTTTCAAAAAAACAGTACCCTACAGATCAATGATTCTGGACCAATTGTCATTAGAGTCCTTACAAAACATAGTGGATGGATTTGCCAATTTTTTCAAAATTGTATATGTTGCATCATCAAATCCCTTCCTAATTAACCCTGTTGAGCCCTACAACTCTCAAAATATGCCCATTAACAATATTTCTCAGCTTGAAGTGTGCAGTGCACTCAAAAAATTGAAAGATACAAAAACTGCAGGTTATGATAAAATACCTTCTTTTATATTGCGTGATTGCTCACTGTCGCTATCAGTGCCCTTACATCTTATTCACTGATTCACTGTTGTTTGTCATCATATAATGTCTATTTTTGTCATATTTTGGTTTGTTGTGACTTTTTTAGTATAGTATTTAGGATTTAAGATTTTGATAGGAATAATTTAGGCAACATTTCCATACAGCTTTTGTGAAGCTTTTCTTGTATAATTTTTGTACATTGTGGAATAAATTACATTACATTACATTACATTATCTTCAATAAAATTTAAAAAATAATAATATATTTCCGGAACAATGGAAAATAACTAAGATTTTTCCTGTTTTTAAGGCAGGTCAAAATAATAATATCACTAACTATCGACCTATCTCCATACTGTCCAACTTTTCAAAGGTTTTTGAAATCTGTATTCACAACAATCTCTTCCATCAAGTTAAAAACGTAATATCTCCTACTCAACATGGCTTCTTTCCACAGAGATCAACTATCACAAATCTTACAAGTTTCCTACAAAAAGCTTATCTTGCTATCAATAATAGGAAACAACTTGACGTCATATATACTGACTCTTCAAAGGCCTTCGATAGGTTGGATCATGGTCTCGTTGCCCAGAAAATGTACAACATTGGGTTTCATGGGAAGTGGTAAATCTATTTATCTCATATTTGAGTTGGCGAACACAGTTTGTGGAGTACAACAGTTTTCGTTCTGCCAACTTCAGCGCTTCAATTGGCGCTCCTCAATTAAGCAATCTAGCTCCTCTAATATTCGCTATGTTTGTGTATGATATCACTGACACTACTATCTCATCTAATCTAACTGTGTATTGTTTGCCGATTATCTGAAAATTTTTAGAATTATTGACATTATACAGAATTACAAAAGGACAGTGACTCCTTGTCTTCTTGGTGTATCACAAATAAACTTCTGCTAAATATTAATAATTGCCAATCTATGACTATTTCCAAGCTTCATAACGAAGTGAAGTTTGCATATAGACTTGAAAATACCAATCTTTCTAGTGTAGATTCCGATTCCATACGAGACCTTGGGGTAATTATCGACAGTAGACTAAATTTTAATAAACATATTGACTAAATCGTTCAAGCATCTTTGAAAACACTTGGCTTTATTATTAGGTCTACAAAAGATTTCACAAGTACGGAGAGCTTGATTGCTTTGTACAACTCATTATTAAAATCAAAATGACAATATGCAGCTCTGATATGGTTTCCCAATAATTGTGATGTACATGTCGACAGGCTCGAATATGTCCAGCGCAGATTTCTCAAGTACCTAAGCTTTAAGCAGGATGGCATCTACCTTCCACGGGGATATGACCACAAATTATTACTAGAAAAATTTAACTTTTTATCACTTAAGCAAAGTACAATTCTTGCCAGTCAACTGTTTATTTTCAAAATATGCAAAAATTTAATTGATTCGGCTGAAATATTAAATTACCTGCATTTTTTGGTTCCCGCAGTAAACACCCGGACTCACCATTTTTTTTTTTTTAATAAGCATTTATTGTTGAACTTTAAGCAGTACATAATACAATGACTGGTAACAAGTCCTATAATATAACATATATAAAATCCCTGATTAGTTTCTATACTAATCTCTATAAATATTATTTATGTTTGTACATCAACAAAATGCATTTAAACTACCCAACTAACACTATGTAATATGCCTAATATTAATGATTATATACTCAACTGCTGTTCTGATAATAATAGTAATGATCATGAACACAAAGAGCAAAGATAGAAAAACAATATAAAAAAAAACAGTATATAAACTAAAAAACGCTTGAGATCCAATGGAAAAAAATTCGTTCCCTAAATATCTTGAGAGGAGAAATTGCTTCAATTTTTTTGAAAATAACTGTGAAGATCCAATATTTATCTGGCGTACCATAAATTCTATCTGGAAAATTGTCAGACTAATCTTGCCAGAAATGCGCCTATATATAGAGCCTGCTCATGGTATAATCAATTCATACCCACTATTGGTGAGTTGGATCTTTTTAATGGTACTGTAAAGTCATTTAAAACAAAAATAATACCACAGATAAAAAACGCTCTCCTGAATTAAATCGCTCTCGAAGTTGTTTTAATTATTGAATCTTGTATTTTTGTGGAGTGATTGCTGATTGGCTTGGGGTTAACTTTTTGTCCTGGGTTTTTGCTGGTGGAAATTGTTGATACTACTTAACTTACATCTGTTTTTCTCGATTGTTAATTACAAACTATTGTTGGTTACTTCATGTATTTGTATTTGAGGCATAAGTCAAAACTTAGTTTTAATTTTACAATAGCATTTATCTAGTCTTTAATTTGAAATTATTATAATTGTCTTGTTATTGGGTTTATCCTGTTGCAAAGCAAAAGCAAAGCAACCCAAGTTGGTTGCCTGCATATGCAAACTCCCATCGTTCTTTAGAATTTATGATATTTCTTATGACACACCTAGTGCCTGCTTTAACCCAATGTTTAAACGTCCAATATATCTGTAAATATCAGTTTTGTTTGTTTTTTTCCTTTATTTGTGGTTGAATTCAGTTTAACTAAAAAAGTTCGAGAAAAAATAATAACAGAAGTCTGTTTTACTAAAGGTCTGTTCGACCTTCCAACCCGTCTAAAACCATCCCATGAACGGTTTCTAAATCACTCTGTATACGAATGTTGGATTATGAAGGATATGTTTAAGGCTTTGCGGAGATTCTCAAGGATCTGTGTAGGTCCTACAGGACTTGTACAGGGTGGTCCAAATTGGACACTTTCTTATGGAAACACCCTTTATTTTTATAGATAGAAAAAAATGGACCCCCCACTCTGAGGCTCAAATTTCATGAAATTTTGATTGGTGCAAACCGCATTTTGATATCTTCAACCGTTTAGCCGCTAGAGGGCGATTCTCGATTTTGAGCAATACTGTAAAGCCTCCATAACTTTTTTGTTCATGAAAATAATTCATTTCCGTAAAGACCTTTTGGAAGCACTTTTTCAAGCAGAATTCAATGACGTTCTCAGTTTTTTTCTGTTTGGCTTCGATTTCGAGATATGGACCAAAATCCGATTTTTTTCAATAGGACACCCTATATATTAATAGCTCATTAAAAAGCTCTGCTTTTGCTGATTTCAATGATATAGGGTTCGATAGGTTTATCTCTAACAGTTTATTAACAAAATTATTACGGTTTTTGTCATAAGAAACAATGTGTTAGAAAGAAACCTTTCTCAGTTTCCTTACAGAGATAAAGTCCTTTTCCAACACATTGTTTCTTATGACAAAAACCGTAATAATTTTTTTTCTCGAAAACTGTTAGAGATAAACCTATCGAACTTTAGATCCTTGAAATCAGCGAAAGCATAGCTTTCTAATGAACTATTAATATATAGGGTGTCCTATTGAAAAAAATAGGATTTTGGTCAAAATCTTGAAATCCAAGCCAGACAGAAAAAAATTGAACACGTCACTGAATTATGCTTGAAAAAGTGCATCCAAAAGGTCTTTACGGAAATGAATTATTTTTATAAACAAAAAAGTTATGGAGGCTTTACAGTATTGCTCAAAATCGAGAATCGCCCTCTAGCGGCTAAACGGTTGAAGATATCAAAATGCGGTTTGCACCATTCAAGATTTCATGAAATTTGAGCCTCAGAGTGGGGGGTCCATTTTTTTCTATCTCTAAAAATAAAGGGTGTTTCCATAAGAAAGTGTCCAATTTGGCCCACCCTGTACATACAAAACCCTTAAACTATGTGGGAACTGTAGGATGGTGTAAAAATCTGATTGTATTACTGGCTACTGGGGATTACTCATTGAAAAGTTTTTTTTTTTTCTTTCCTGTCTATTTACATTTTTTTACAAATCATGAAATGAGGGCGGAATCATAGAGTAAGGTTTAAGGGTGGTGTATCGAACTAGAGGTACGTAATGTGACACTTTCCAATCAATGAAGTTGGTTATGTCCACCATTGAATCGGACATTCCCAGAAACCCCTAGGTAGGAAATATTGTACATTTTTCTTAGGCGCAAATTTTGAATTGAAATATTAGGCCGTTTCCATATATGTATATAAAGACAACCTTGAGGACAACCCTTCTGTATATAAGATTTGGACCTTTGATCTTGGTGAGACTGGTTAACAGTCGCACTGGGACTCGAACTGGGTACCCGGAGAACATGGAACAGGGGGGCTAGCGACTGACCGCAGGTTTTCTTGAATTCAGAACAAGGGGGTTAGCGACTGACCTGAAACCTAATAAATGGCATAAACTTGATGCAAACCTTGTTACAACCCTAGAAATTTCTTAATTACAAAAAGTATAAGCCTTGTTACGACTCTAAAAATTTATTAATTACAAAAAGTATCCTACACTTTTGTGTGTATCTTTATGAAATTTTTCTATAAGGACTCAGTACTAAGTACCCAAATTCATCACAGTCTCAAGCACCTAAAGTGGTTTTCATATTAGAATGATATAGGGTTTTAGTTTTATCTGTTGCATCATAGAAGTTTACTGATGCTCCCAAAAATTGGTCAAGAGAACCCTTGTTAAGATCCCAAAAGCAGATCAAAGAAAAAATATTGGTGACTTTTTAGACTGACTTGCTATGGAATATATTTAACAAAAGTATCCTGTATAAGAATTCCATGCATATTTTTTATGAGTTAAATGTTTAGATTAAAATTTGCATATTAATGGTCATGACCAGCATAGCTCCTGAAATGAGAACATGGTAGTTTAGATTAAACTCACGAGTTTTAAGTGCAAACATGCAATTATTATTCAGTTAAAAACGCTTGTTTAAGGGGTAGTAATCAATAATTGTAAAATGCCAAGAGTTGCTTTCGCTCACAGAAATTTGCTAGGAAATATTTATTTAGTTTAATGCTTTTAATTCCAAACTACGCAGTAGTAAAGTCCAAATTACTTTCCAACATTAACCGGGAGAATAGCACTATAAAACTGTTTTGAACTTTTGCAAAACACGTTAATTATTGATGGAGCTTGAAAATGCTTTAAAGCCGTAAAATCCGCAGCAAGAAAATAATTAGTTAACTTGAATTAGAACTTGCAAAGTTTATGTCACACTAAAAAAAAATTCAATTTAGCATCACATGTGAAAAGTACCGCACTAAGCAGTTTACCTGGTTTGTTCATTGACTAGTACGAATATTGTTTGATAAATAAAATATTTGATTTGATTTAATGTAATTCTTTTCAGTGAAGAAAACGTCTACAAGCTTGCAGAAGAAGTAACTAAAACCCAGCCAAACGAGCTTAGCAAATGTTTTGTAGTGTTTATTTCAAATCACAGCAGAACGGTGCCCTTGTGGAGACAACGAGCTGGAAAAGAAGAAGATCGTTTGGTCATTTGGGTACGTTCTAATTTTATCCAGCATATTTATCCACATTTATCTTATTCCTGTTCTCTTAGAGGCCAGAATGTTGCTCTAATAATAAATTCACGAATATGACGTATTGTTGTTACTTGACTGAGTGCAAGAATAAGCTCATTGCTGTTCTAGGAAACCTTTAACTTTCAACTGGATTTGGAAGAAAAAAAATCCATAACTTTACCATATCACTTTACTCATGCTACTATAACTAAATATATTATAAAAGTGCGATATTTAGTAAGAGTTCTTGAACTGACTATAGTTTCAGTATCAGGCGCTTTAATTATTATTCTTTTAATCAGTCGTTGCTTTGTGCCTCGGTAATTATTTATCTTTTCTTTTTTTATAGGATTATCATGTGATTTTCCTTTATCATCCAGAACCTGATAAATGTCTTGTGTACGATCTGGACTCAGAATTGCCTTTTCCAACTTATGTGCACAAATACGTGACTGAAACATTTAGGACGGATCATATTTTGAAACCAGATTATTTCAGGTAAGGTCTTACCAATATATCTTCGAGGTTATAGCTATTTTAGGACTCTACAAGAAATCATAAAAATATAGTTTCATTTTATCTTAACAGTTATAACACAGAATGTGTAATATAATAGGTATAATCACTATCACTAATGACTATGGTTTCAACTAAACATTACCTACCTCAATTTTCTATTTTTAAACATCTTACTACTAATTAATAATTCATATATTTACTTGCGGCTTTTTAAATGCGAATTTGATTTAAATTTTCAATAAACTAATAATATTTCCCAGTACATTGACCTTTGAATTTTGTGACTTTTGTGTTACCTACCTCAAAATAGACAGCGGTGCTGGTGCCGCCTCCGGTAGTGTAAACATCAACAGTCCGGTTTCGATGGTTATGGAAAAGGCCATCAACAGTGCAAATGCAAGCTGATGCTGATGACGGGTTTTCACTGGTGACTTATCGCAGAGGTAACAGAAGAGAGTTTCGGGGCACCTCAAAGATCTTAAATCCAATATATCCAGACACAATGGGGCCCAGGATTTTCGGCACCTAGTCGACAATCAGGAATTATAAACAATCTGAATAGTTATACAGTCTATTATTAGAATGTGCGCGGTTTGTGTAATAAATTAAATACATTGGCTGGTTCTGTTCCCCTAGTTCCATACCAAGTTCTGGTTTTTACGGAGACTTGGCTCACTGAGGACTTTTATGATGCTGAATTGAGCATGAAAAACCATAACGTCTTTAGATGTGATCGTTCATCTTCTTCCAGTACTGCCACCAGAAGGGAGGTGTATTGATAGCAATTCAAAAGGGTATTTTTAGCTCAATCTGCCACTCACCCAGGACTATTGAACAGTTTTTCGTCAGGGTGCATCGGGGAATAGTAAATTATTGTTTGGTGCAGTTTACCTACCACCTATATCCAATAGCAAGGATCACAGATGTTTTTCGGACTCAGTGGAAACTTTATCGGATACATTCCCAGATTACAAGCTTTGCATTTACGGTGATTTCAACTTACCCAAGGCTTACTGGGTTAGTGACAGTCTCAGTTCTGTAGCTGTTGCTGCTCAGTCTTCCTTAACCTCAGAGCGTGAAGCCAATGTTCATCCAATATGAGCGCTTACCACAACTTGTTCCAGATAAATGCATTCTCTAATGCTTGTGGCACTCTACTTGATCTGTTTTTCACCCATGACCAGCGTTGCCAGAAGAAATAAAAAAAAATCGTGAGAATCGAAAAAGAAAAATCGTGAGAAATCATGAGACCAAAAATTGCTAATAATATTATAAGAAAATGAAGCACAACAATGTTCTTTTTTAGATTTCTGATAAAGTAAACATGATTTCACATTCATAAGAAATAAACATTTCATTAATAAATCTTGTATCCTTGTTTTTCCGTTCTTTAGCTGGTGTTTCTGGAAGCTTAACCTCGTTTTCACTATCCGCAGGATTGCTCATCCTGGCGTATCTTCGCCAATTCTCGAGTTGGCAGCTGGTCTGCGAGTGACGTCACCACGATCAGACGATGATAGTGTAATGGGCGTCGTTTTGGGGGGGGGGGGTATTTGCCCCCCCCTAGAAATAGTCTTTTGAACAAGAAAGAAGTAAAAGATAGTTCGCATTCGTATTGCTTTTTTTCCATTTTTTCAAAATTTGTTAGGTAGGTACCTTTTTTATAGTCTGGCGTAAAGACAATTACCTAAAGCTACGTTTACACTTGGAACGTACTTGCCGTCACTAAACTTATTCATTGTTTTGTGTTTACATATTTTCCAGTTTATTTGCCAAACAGTGGAAAATAAAATGGCTCCAAGTAGGGTAGTGCGTGCTAGAACGCAAGAAAAATAGGAAAAAACGAGTTTGGGTTAGAGATTGGATCAGACGTAGAAGTACCCACTCTTCTGGGTGCGTCGAAACGACTCTTGAAGGAGATATCAATTGAAGATCCTGATTTTTATAGGAATTTTATGAGATTATCATACCAAAAATTTCAAGAACCGTCAAGACTAGTTGAACCGAGCCTAAACTGACAAAGTCAGAAACGTAGATGAGAAGTCTTATTTCTCCTAAAATCAAATTGGAAGTCACATTACGATATCTTGCCACTGGTGATAGTTTTGCTTCCTTGTAGTAGGTATTCATACAGAAACGTGGACGCCTGTTTTTGTGATCCGTTCACACACGGAAAGTACAAACAGAAATTTGGCGTAGCGGCAAGTAAACTAGCCGGTCCATCAACTTTTGAAAAGCGCTTGCCGGCAAGTAGCAAGTGCACTTTCCTGTGGTTTACACATGACAAGTTTAGTGGCGGCAAATACTTTCCTTTAGGGCCAAATTATGGACCAACTGGTGTCTGGTTGTTACCTAGCAGGTACTTTCTTTTCTCTAGTGCATAGAAAGTTCCTGCTAGGTAACAACCAGACGTTTACCAGTCAGTCCAGAATTTGGCCCTTAGTAAACTTTCCAAGTGTAAACGTAGCTTAAACAAATGATGGGGACAGTGAATTTGTTGGGGAAAAAAATACCATCATTGTTAACTATATATCGATATCAAATACTTAAGTACGTTAAAATGTTCAAAAAAGCGACGTGGCACCCAAAAAAATTTCGCCTACGACGGTTACCAGCGGTGCTATTGGAAATTATCTTATTATAGTGCTGCCCCCCCTGAGAAACCTCGTAACGACGACCATGAATAGTGGTGATGTCATATGGATTGCTTGCGACTCAAGCTGTGCTTGTAGTTAATTTTTTCGTCGATTTTAAATTTAGAAAAGGTGATTTTAACGTTTGGGAATTCGTTTTTTTGACCTATATATATTTATGACCTATGTATAGTAGATTTTTATTTCGATTATTTTCAATTGAATATTACATTTAATTACTGATTTGTATCACTACAAAGAGAATTCGTGAGAATTGCTACCTCATTCGTGAGATCGTGAAATTCTGACCAAAATCGTGTAATCTTACGAATAATCGTGAGATCTGGCAACACTGCCCAGAACCCCGAGGATTCTCGTCTCTTAGCTAATGACATTATCCTCCCCGTTGATGCATATCATGCTGCTTTACTTTTTGCCACCTGCAATAGGCCATGTCACCGCAATGCTGACATCCCCCACCCTGACGCGACTATTATGATTTTGGGTCTGCTGATTACACACTCTTTAACGATAACCTTGGGATGGCTCGCTGGGTTGACTTACTCCGGGGTCTCGATGTGACGGAAATGACCAGAGTTTTCTATGACGTTCTCTATACGGCTATCGATTGTTTTGTACCAAAGAAGAAGCTCTCAAGCCATAAATTTCGACAATGGTTCTCCCTTGAACTAAAGGACCTAATAATTAGGAAGAAAAATGCCCCCAGAACTTGGAAGCCGACGGATTCCCCTGCTGACTGTGTTGAATTTTCACACCATCAAGCTCAGTGTAAGACTCTTTCCAATGATTGCTATACAAATTATGTCATATCCTCAGAGTTGTCATTGCTTATGGACAAAAATCTGAAACATTTCTGGAAGTTTGTCAATGCTAGCAGACAATAGACTTATGGACTCCCTTCTCTTCTTACATGTTTTAGGACGGTAAATTCGCCAAAACTGGACCTGAACTAGCTAATCTTTTCGGTGCATATTCTCATTTTATATACTCAGACAAAACATGTGTTATCGGCCACAGCATTTCTGATAGTAACATTCACATTCATGACTTTGAAATCTCCATCTCAGTTATTTACGAGGAACTGTGAAAGCTGCGGATCTTTCGTGGACCTGTCCCGAATGACATCGCCCCCTCTGATTCTCAGCAGGTGTAGCTTTATACTATCTCGTTTTCTGTTTATTTTGTTCAATGAACCACTCAGTAGTGGGGTATTTCCTGAGATTTGAAAGCGGAGTTTTATCGCGCTCGTCCATAAGGCCGGTGACAAAATTTATAGAAGCCAGAAATAGTTGCAAAATTACTATTGACTCCGCTAAAGAAACATACAATCAAAGAATAAAAAACAGGTTGCTGAATTGTCCAAATAGTTCTAGGTCTTTTTGGTCTCTTGCAAAAGCTGTTGGATCTAACTTCACCAAGTCATCCATACCACCACTTACAGATAAAAATAATCACTTAGCCACAACATCAGAGGAAAAAGCCAATATGCTTGCCCAAATGTTTTCCTCCAACTCCAACCTAACAGTGCCAAACGGAAAAACTCCACCGTTCATTGAAAGGGTTTCCCATAGTATGCCAGAGGTACCCTTTTGTCACAGAGAAATACGAAAATCCCTAAAAAAGCTGGATACAAACAAAGCAATGGGTCCGGATGGCATTCTCGCAATAGTACTCAAAAATTGCGCCAACGAACTCACCCCAACTTTCGCAAAATTATTCAATTTGTCTTACAGGCAAGGAGTATATCCATCATCATGGAAGTCTACCGCAGTACAACCCATTCCAAAGAAAGGAAAAAAGACAGATCCGTTAAACTATAGACCAATTGCTCTACTTCCGGTGATATCAAAAGTAATGGAAAGAGTTGTGAACAATCACCTAACCAAGTACTTGGAAAAGTACAAAATTATCAACGATAAGCAATACGGATTTCGAAAATATAGGTCAACTGGCGATTTACTTACATACATCACTCACTTATGGCAAAAAGCGATTGAGTTGCGGGGTGAAACAAGAACAATTGTCTTAGATATATCTAAAGCATTCGACAAAGTTTGGCATGAAAATCTGCTCAACAAGCTCAAAGCAATGGGATTATCGCCGAAACTTTGCACTTGCTTTGAAAGTTACCTAAAGGACAGATCCATTTATGTTGCACTGGATGGCCAGAACTCCAACTCTTACCAAATAAATGCTGGTGTGCCACAGGGAGCAATCCTTTCGCCAACTCTTTTCCTGATTTACATAAATGACCTCATAGATAAAACAGTAAATCCACTTTATTGCTTTGCAGACGATGGCAATGTAGTCTCCTCACTCATACCACCCACACTGGGGTAACAAAAACCTTGTACAGTTCAACGCGCAGAAAACCCAAGCAGCTCTTTTTTCAAAAAAGACCAGCACCGGTGAGCCAAACATCATGCTATCTGGAAGTGCTGTCACATTACAGAGTCAGTTGAACATCTTGGGGGTTACTGCAGAGACCAACATGTCTTGGCACAGTCACGTGGCATATATTGCTAAAAAGGCCTCCCAAAAGCTGGGGGTGCTATTTCGTACAAGACATCTGTACACACCAAGCCAATTGCTGACACTCGACAAAGCCCAGATTCGACCAACTATGGAGTACTGCTCACATATATGGAGTGCAGCACCCAAACATACCTTAATGCTTTTGAATACCGTGCAAAACGAGCTATCAAGCTGATCAATGACCCCGCACTTACTCGTAACTTGGATGGTCTCGATCATCGCAGATCTGTGGGCGATTTATCTCTCTTCTACAGGTACTATCACGGAAAATGCTCTGAAGAGTTGGCACGTATGATTCCACCGAGAGTAGCACCTACCAGGCGAACCCGTCAAACAGACGGTAACCATGAATTTACTGTCAAACTAGAGGCACCAAGAACCTCATTATATCAGAATTCATATCTCTGGAGAACAGCATCGCTGTGGAATAAACTCCCTGCGACGGTTTTCCCTGCAGGTTACAACCTGAACCGTTTCAAGACCAACATACACCGACATTTCCGCGCACTTGCCGCTTCTCGAGCGTGATAGGACATTTCCTTGCGAGTGCGCATATCCGTAAAAAAAAAAAAAAAATGGTATCCTCAACACTATCCCTGAGGTCTTTTTTCTTAATTCCTATCATCAACCCTTGCCTAATCGAACAGCAAGCAGATTTCCGGCTAAATTACTCAACCAAAACTAACCTCCTGACGGATCAGGATAAAATCTCAGGGATTCTTGTAAGCGGTGGAGTTGTTCACTCTATACATACCGATTTTGCTAAAGCCTTCGACCGTGTCAACCACAATGTCCTACTTGCGAGGCTTGAGAGAATTGGAATATCTGGTATTCTGCTTGCGTGGATCAGCGACTACCTTGGGAACAGAACTCAAACAGTCCAGATCATCAACTTCTGCTCACAGCCCATTGACATCTCTTCCGGTGTACCACAAAGATCTCACCTGGGACCCCTGCTATTCAATATTTTCATCAACGATATTGGTTCTTGTTTCATTAATAGCGAGTTTCTGTGTTTTGCCGATGACTTAGTCCCGAGTCTTGTCCCACGAAGACTGTGTGCCAGACTACAATTTGACTTGGATACTTTCGGAATGGTGTGTCAGAAGTGGCATGGAACTCAATGCCTCTAAATGTAAAGCTATCGTTTTCTCCAAAAGTCAAAGCCTCATACAATTTGTATACCACATAAGCAATGAACCACATGAAACAGTGTCTCAACAGCATGATCTCGGTGTCATTTTTGATAACACGTTAAGCTTCTCTGCTGCTGGGCTTTGTTAAAAGGTGTTCAAGGGACTTCACGAACAACTTTTCTATGAGCCTTCTCTACTGCACAATGATAAGGCCCGTCCTGGAGAACAGCTCCTCGGTTTGGTCACCTATATGTATTCTGTCCACATCAACGCCTTGGAACAGGTGCAACGTAAATTTGTACAGTACTTGGCCTTCAAGGCAGATATTCCTCTCCCGAAAATTATATCTACAACTATGATGACCTCTACCCGACGCTTCACTCTGCAACCCTTATCCGCCAGACGAAAGCAAAGTGATTTATTAAAATTTTTCAAAATACTATACTCTCACTCCCTGTACCTACTATCTAGAATTGGACTTCATGCCCCAGCAACAACCACACGCTCTTTCACTACCTTCTCAGAAAAGATCCACTGGACAATCGACGGTTTTTTATATTAAATTAACGATATCACATTTGTCTTGTAGGTCCAAAATCACGTAGCTTTGGGTGACGCCCCTAACTTGTCGTGGCGTGGCGTCCCTGAGGAAGTACTGAGGACTGAAACATTGTATAATTTAAACTCTGATTCTAATTTTATAACAGACATCATCAAAAATTTATAAATACCCATCAAATTATGGACTAGAGTTTGTGAACCATTAACCCAATTAAATTACAGATACTTTCGAGTAATCCCTGGCAGCGAATTCGTCAAAGAGTTTTCATCTGATAGGCGCCATATGAAGAGACCGGATGGTACATGGATAAAACCGCCGCCAAATTATCCAGCTATAGCTAACGCAAGTAAGATAACAAAAGTTTACAATTTTTTAAAACATATACCAATGGTTGGTTGTATTGCAGATTCGGTTCACAATCTGGAAGAATACATTCAAATGGACCAATGTAAAGGACCAGGTCAAGTTTTAAACCTGACCCAATTTGTTCAAAGATTTTACAAGCCTTTAACATAATGGGACTATTTGTATTTTATGGTGTTAATTAAATTCGGCCGATCAGCCTTTAATAATCAAAAGAAGACGACCTTGAAGATGCATTTTGAAAAATATAATGTTCTATTGCTTGTATGAGCAATGTTTTCTATATCCGCACATTTTCTATCTTTCTATTGTCCTAAAATAATAAGTACTTATCAGTAAAAATAAGTGTATTATGAGTAAAAAATTAAGGGGCCTTACGCTATTTTTAAAGTATTCTTATATATTTGCCTAATACCGTGTTGTTACAAGAATCCAGTTGTGCCGTTAACACTCTTGGATATTTTATTGATGGGATTTTTGGATTGTTCATCATGTTTACATTTAAGTTTTTACAAGCGCCTCTTTTTTATCAGAATAGTCCAAGATTATTTATTTGACTTATTTAATTGGATTTGAAAATTTCTCTTAAGTTTGTTCCTTGAGCAATATTGCACTGATTTAAGTAATTTCTTGCTCTGCATTTCAAAAGCAAATAGTGTGGGACCCATTTTAAAGCATTTAACCTAATAATAAATATGTAATATCAAATATGTATGTATACATAATCAAGCTGATTGGTTATTCAAGTGAGACATGTATTTAATTTGTTATTTTTTTATTTTGTTGGTTGCTTTACTAACAAATATTGGACAGTCAAATATTTTTTTAAAACAACCTTTATGTGATATTAGAAGAAGTTAGTAAAAATAGCATTTACATATTATTTATTTCAGGTAATTTTTGTTTTGGTTGCTTGATTTTTTAGCTTCGATTTATTTAAACGATCAAGAATAATAGAATTTGATATTTTTTCCCCAAAGTATTCAATTTAAATTCTATTTGTCATGCTCCTTAGTTGTTGAATAATAAATTATTTATTCATGTAGCTTTATATACATACACATACAATATGGAACAGAACTCACACAATTTTCAAAATAAACTTCATAAGCATGTGAAAATTGTTATGATTAACCGATAAATAAATCAATGAAACCACCTTGTATATTTAAGCCATAGATTGATTTACATCCCTTTCTGATGTATTGAAGGCTTCAACTTTGGAAAAAAACCCTTTCTTGCATAAGATGTATTTTTTTATTCTATGCAAAAACATTGTCAAAGTTAAAATAAATAAAAGAAATCCTTCTGTTTTATGTGCTTTATATTATGCATATGTCACTGTGTCACTATATTATATTCATATCACATTAGATTATAGATCACTAATTCCTTGTCTATTTATTCATTGTTTGAAGTGTTATTACATGTAAAAAAAAAAAATTTACTATGTCTTTGTGATTGTTTTGTACCTTTGTACTTACTTAACTCTTATTCTTCAGGCCTGATTATTGTGTAATTTAAAATTTATATAATGTATTCAAATATTGAGAAAATATAAAGCATAATTTATCAATGTTGAAATGTGTTTTTTAATTTAATTTTATCACAGTCTAGTTTGATTCAGGGCAGCAATTTTAAACCTTCATTCTACTGAAATATGCAGGATAATTAATTTCCTGAATGGAAGAAATCCTGCAGAAACTTTAAACAATAGGTTTAACTACAGATTAAAGTGTGGTAACGTTACCGTGGCAACGGTAATTTTGGTAATTTAACCCGACAAATTTCTTTACCGGTAATTTTCAGAAATGTTTCCTTAAAGAAATCACATTTAGGCGACAATCCTTTTCATGCAATATTTGCCATCTTGTTGTGAATCTGTAACGCGCTTTCAGAGAAGGCATAAACAAATAGTTATTTACCTAACAAGTGCGGAAAGTGGTGCTTTTCCCCACGCGACGGCAGTTGGCAAGCTGTCAAGGATGGAAAAGACATTTTCCGCAGAAGTTAGGTGTAATGTTTTTCCACAAGTTTATTATTTTTGTCCATCTCATGTATCAAAAATTGATCAAAAAATCTAAGATCTAGGTTTTCTCAATGGAAAATAGTACCTACCTATAGATAGTAATTTGATTTGAAGTAGAAAATATGGAGTAGGTACCTATATTTTGAATTAAAACATTGTGCTCGTAGGAAAAACCTATTTCGTGGGTTTTTGTTGAGTTCTGAGTTTGAAATTATTTGGAATGTCAAAGATCTTGAAACACAAAAACCCTACAAAAGCACAACTCTCGCAAAACCCAAAAAACCAATAGAAATTTTCAAAAACCAGGGCTGTTGCCAACCCTGTAACCCTGTGTGCTTTAAGTAATCAATTTTCTTGACTGAGTTATCTCCAATGCTATACTTATTCAGCTCATTTTATTTATTTGTTTTTTTTTTGCCCTTTAAATGTAGGTATTTACTTTACTATTTAGTTTAGCACCAGATTAGGAGAATTTATTTCTGTTTGATTTTCTTTGCTTGTTTTTCGTTCTAGGAATTAGGTATTATTATTTGTTTAAATATTGTAATATTTCTATGAGGTTAAGTTTTACAACAAACAATATTATAATAAATGGTTGTTTAGCTAAAAAATCCTGAAAATCTATAATCCTTGAATGTATAGGTATAGTCTTGGGTATAGTATATAGTCATCATTGTTTGTTTCATGAAATATTTCCAAAATTACCAAAATAACCGAAAAATTACCACTGAGAAAGAACAAATGAAAATTACCAGTAAACTTCAATCTCTAGGTTTAACTTTTCATTCAAACATACAAAAGCTTGCTTTAACAAGATCTTTTACTGGACTTTTAGTCAACTCGGCTACATAAAAATTCTTCTCACTATGCCTTGACAGGCATATTCGTGAGTTAACTCTGTCGAAAAAGCTATCTCCCAATGATGGTGTGTTAAATGCCTCACTGTCTCTGACTCTGGTGGTAAATTCATTAGTGACAACAATCTGAAATGATCCAATATTATTGCATAAAATTTGAATTCGTTTAATTTTAACACACACTTACTGCAAAATCAAATGCTGTCGCTAACTCTTGTAACTCTTCTAGCAGTTGATAAGTTAGATAAGTCCTTTCTGATAATTCTATATCTCTCAATGGACTAGCGATACTATCAATTATCAATAATTTGACCATTTTGTCTTTTAAAAACACCTTCAAGTATTTTACTGTAGCAAATATCTCAAAAACATTAGGGTTGTTGAAAACAAGAATATTTTTTAAAATCTCTTCTTCGGAAAGATTATTTTTAGAAACTTTACTGATTTGCTTTATAAAGTTTCTGGTAAGTTCCCTTACTCTATTTGACGAAAAATTTTTGTTTGTGTTTATGTAGATTACTTTGCCTTCCAAGCCACCCAGGCTTTTTGGTAATTGGGTAGCAATGCATAACTGAAAACTACAAAGAAAGGATGACCTGATTAATTTAAAACTTACATCATGTAATTAGTTACAAGGAGGCTTTGTCTTACCAAATTTGTGTTTTTCCAGTTCCAGGGAATCCTGCCAATTCAGTAATTCTTTTAGGGACAATTTCATCACTTAAAACTTTGTCCAATTCAGTATTGTAAGTTAAAATACATCCGTTCAACAATTCTTCCTCCAACAACTCTAATGATGTGGTCGTGTTTTTATTTGATTGGGGTTTTGGTGAACTTATAGATAAAGTTTTTAGGGATGCTTCAGTCAAGTCGTCGCAAAAGTATTGACCAGATTTTCGTAGATTTTCCAACTTGGATTTGGGTAGATTGATAGTTTCAATAGCTTGTTGCATTTTTGAAAATAAACTAAACTGAACTGAATGAATATACACCTAATAAACATTTCAAAAACAGAAAAACTAAAAAACAAAAACAATCAAAATATTATAGGTTATGTTGACTGTTGACATCTCTTCTCAAGGAGTGCGTTCACAGGGCCGAGTTCAGAAATAACGCACAGGGTGCGAGTGCGATTTTATGGGTGCGCTTGAATTGACAATTGGCCATTGAGCCCAGCATCTCCTAGCATTTTTGAACAGCTAGGGCGTCGCACCGGTGTCACACTCACACTGGGTGTGTCATTTCTGAACTCGCCCCAGTCGAACTCCGGACGCTCGCCGAGTGCACACCGAGCGCGTCTTTTGCAGGAGCCGCTTTCCAGTATGGGAGTGTGACGCCCGGAGCTACTCGGGGCGTTGAGCTCCCGAGCTGTACGTAGGCGTCAACCTATCAGCTGTCACATCCGTGGGAGGCTATTTATCTATTTATTTCTTGTTATATCTCAAGATTGAACATTTAAAAAAATATAGTTTTGATTCTCTTTCATTTTTGATAAATAAAAAAACAATTTGCACAAACAAACAGATAATTATTTTTAAAATTTGACATATTTGACACTAAGACAGGCGTCTCACGCCATGATACTGGAACGGTACAAATCTAGTGCGTGGCGCCCCCGAGGTGCTCTAGAGCGCGCCAATGTGCATACTGGAAAGCGGCTAGGGTTAATTGTCGTTCACGGATCTACCTAATTCACCCGGTTAAAATATTTGCTCCGTTCACAGAGCCATGATAAGTTTACCCGGAGTGCGTTCAAAGACGGCAATGCTAATGCCAAAACCTACTATTCCCCTTCTACCGGCGATGCCAAATCTGGTGTGAATTTGCTGGAACGCCAAATACCGTTTCTCAATAGGCAATCCAAACCACGTGACATTCAATATGGCGTGGCGACCGTACATGGACCAAAAAACACAAAAAATATCTAGTTTCTGCCCGACTTAATAGTTCACGTACTTAGTTAACAAATATTTTTTTGAATAATCAAAATAGAAGCTGCAAACAAACAAAATAATTGAAATATGAAAACACATATTCAAAACTAACTTGCTGGCTGCCACGCCATATTGAATTTGGTCTCATCCAATCAAAATTCGTATAACCATTTCTAGACTCAGTTAAAAGAGCCTCCAAAAGTTACTTTACCGCGGCCGATTTGGAACGTGTAAAGCCAACCGTTTTTTGGCACGCTGGAGCCGAACTTGAACGCAATATGCCAATTTTGGCTCGGCTTTAGCCGTTTTTGAACGCAGCCCTGGTTGTACAACTTTTTAACCCACTCTGAGACATGGGTAAAATTTGTCGCGCAGGCGTTATACAAGAATATTTGAAATTAGATAAACAATACTGTTGGTAATCTTTCTGGGCCATGCATTGCTGACTTCAACTGGTTTTCAAGTTTTCCAGGAAGCCAGTTGAAAGCTTCTCTGGAAACTCTAAAATTTTCCTGAAACTCCTTATCGCTATAATTGCGTATTGTTGCCATAAAATTATCCTGTCTTTCAATATGCCTTTTTTCAGCTTGAACGTAAACTGCTAGCGCTAGCACATGCAGCTTGTGCTACAGCATAGCTGACTTCTTCCTCTGTATCAGACGAATCCGAAGAAGTTTCAATAGTACTTTTAAAAAATATTATTCCCGGATCCATCTCGAAACATTCGAAACACAACATATGTAAACAAAAGGAAAACAAAATCAAATCCTACCTCGTTATGGCGCAGGCGTTAGTCGTACACGGATTTGTCATCCCAAGCGCATCCTTTTCAACCAGTGAAATATTTAACCTGGTTAAGTTTTACCCAGGGAAAACCACTGTGAACGCGCCCAAGGTCTTCTCTTCCACCTCCTCCAAACCAAGGATGATACACACTACTACAGGATGGCCTATCCTCATAAGGCCTGTGTGTAACAAATCACCCCCCTTCCCCCTAAGCTAAACAACCAGTTGTGACGTAAATAGCGTGGCGTTTCTCGCCTTGACGTAGGCTGTTCAAACAGCTGAGGACTTAGTTATGACGTCGGCAATGATTGAAAACAATTGAAAACCAATATGGCCCTGATAACTTAAAACGAGGCCGATAAGCACTCCTTAGGGCGGGTATTATAAAACTACTTTGAGAGTTAACTTAAAGTTAACTTCTAGAATTACATGTAATTCAAAAAGTTAACTTCAAGTTAACTGTCAAAGCAGTTTTATAATACCCGCCCTTAGAGTGTGTATTCTTCTTGCTCCAAACAATCCAAACCATATATTTCTCTGCTAACTTTCGTTATCCAATTTTTTTTCACTTTTTGCTCCGAACCGTTCTATTATCACTCTGGAGCACAATTCCAATATTAGAACATCTACCAGTTGAGTTCGGTTTTTGCATTATTAAGGGCTAGCCTATATCTGCCGCATCATCAAATGATTTTTGATTATGAAGACGAGAAGAAGAAGCTAGTCCTACTGCAAAGGTTGGTTATGCCCTATGCAGAGGAGATAAGAAATCGAGCCACGTTTTTCTTCGGTATTTGTATTTACGACCAATCTTTTCGATCTGAATCGATCGTTTATTGGATCTAGATCAGAGTCTAAATTTAGGGGAGGTACAAGAATGTTACACACCTACAGAATTGTTTATATGCCTCGTTTTTGGAATTTGCCGCTATATTGGTGTGTTACCATTTCCGACGTCATAACTATCCGTGAGTTCGGTATTTTGATCTGAGTTCTCCGAGCATAAATTTACCGTTCGTTTATTTAAAAAGACTACTCGGTGCAGGCTCATTCACGTTGATGAGACCTCTGCTCTGATACAGCGTTTAATTGCTCTGTGCGCTCACCGGTCACGTGATTATGGCTCTGCTCTTTGAGCAAAATACCGAACGCAACGTAAGTCGTCAGCTATTTAAACAGCCTACGTCAAGGCGAGAAATAACATGCTGTCTGCGTCACAACTAGTAATTTGAAATGGGGGGGTAGCGAGGAATTTGTTACACACAGGACTTATGAGGATAGACCATCCTGTAGCCTGTAGTACTTGTAGTAGTGTGTATCATCCTTGGAGGAGATGAATCTAAACTGTTCGGTAATTCCGCTCGGAGGTACAAATTTTCGAACGCACCTTGTTTGGCATCAAAATTTGACTTTTTTAACAAGCCGGTAATGCCAAAATTGTGTCAGTTTTGGCCAATTTTGGCTTTATGTAAACACCCGACTGACAGGTCATGTCATTTTTCGCTGTAACATTCCTAGGCTGTTCATTTGTACTGCTTTTCTTGCTCTCAGCAGCAGATCGGTGTTCACTTGTCCCATATATAAGCTCATAAATAGCAGCTCCTAGCAGATCTTTCTGATTTTTCGAGCAGGTAGAGCAAGTACAAATGAACAGCCTATCCAACTTCTACATTTTTGCTACTCACATCATGAAGCTTTTGTAAAAAATCTTGAAAAGTTGCTGAAACCATTCGAAATTCCTTTTTGAACTGCATGTTAGAAGAACGTGGCACGATTATTTCTTCTGCATAGCCCTCAAACTTTGCAGAATGACCAGGTTCTTCTCATCGTCGTCATCATCAAAAACTATTAGATGACCATGAAAAGCTATCAAAATTGCCACATAGCGTACGTTAGCCAACATCGAGTCGGCAGCTGGTCTGCGAGCGACGTCATCACTATCAGCAGCTGATAGTGATGACGTCACCCGCAGTCCTCGATGGATTGCTTGCGATTCAGGCTGCGCTTGTGAGTTAAATAATAGGTCTATTCTTGTAGAAAACACAAACCAGTCAGAGTGAATTCCATTGGTTGAAACTAAAGTCAATTAAAGGCATTGATTGAAGGCGATTAACCAGTCGGTTATTTTGACATGAACAATGCATTTAACGTCATTCAATACAGATTGGTTGGCTTTATAGGTTATCTGTCAACTGTTGGGTTATCGCCTTCAATCGAATTCGTTTTCTGACTTTTTTAACCGATTCGCTTTGACTGGTTTGTGATTTCTGCACGAACAGACCTTTTTCGTCGATTTTATGTAAAGTCCGTCGTTTTTAATTTGATACTCCAAAGGAATGTCAGCTGGTGGCACCCTACATTGGAACGTCAATGGACACCTGACGTCACACCTGTTTTTGCCATAAGCTTCACCCCTCTCGCCCCTCATCCGGAAAGTGTCAGATTAAAAACGACGGACAATAGAGAAGGCGATTTTAACGTTTAGGAATTCGTTTTTTTGTCCCAGAGTGCTTTAAACTCAGATGAGGCATTTCACGCCAGGAGTTAAGGGTTATAGGCAGTCCTATTATTTTAAGTGTTTTTGCGTCAGGGCGTTCATTAATTACAATTTAATTACAGTTGACGTCTACTTCCGGTATAACCGGAAGTGCCACCATCTTGAAAATATTTTAGCCCGGTTGCCCCCACTGACATTAGTATGCTGTCAAATTTTCAAAAATTTTCTGCACACAGTTTTTTATATTATAGATCGATTTGGTTCCCAGCAAGGTTCCTGGTGGAACACCGAGACAATCTTATCGGATCGTGGGTTCGGAATCCAGTCACTGATTCTGAACTAAGTCAAACCTTTTGAAAGTGATAGCCGAGCTGTTGTCATTTTGACGATTGATAAACTCTGCCACTGTTTTGAACCATTTTAGAACCGTCCTTTCACATACATATATTGTCCGTCGATTTTAATCTGATACTCGGACGGAATGTGAGCTGGTGGCTCCCTACATTAGAACGCCAATGGTTACCTGACGTCACACCTGGTTTTGCCATATGAAACACCCCCTCGCTCCTCATACGGAAAATGTCAGTTAAAAATCGACGAACAATACTCTGATATTAATGGCGTTTCCGATTGGTAGATCTAGTGCGGAACTAGTGCAATTTTTTCTATTTCTGTCTTTTTCTTCTACAGGTCGATTAAAAGGATACAAATACACTCAGTGCGCACTGAATCTACCAATCAGAAACGCCATAAAGTGATAATGAAAATTGAAAGCTTAGGAAAATCTAAATTTATAACCACTCCTTATTTACACATAAAGTTTTTTTTTTTTAAGTCAAAAATTTAGTAACTATGTTGGCGACACAAGCCTTTTCTGCATAAAAAATTTGAAAGCATCGACAATTTTACATTGTATTGCCAACATAATGTCATTTTGACTATTATCTTAAAAAAAAACAGATTTTAGTTTTAACTACTTAGGCCTAGTTTATTCATTTTCTGATAAACTTACTGGTAACTTATATGTAAATAAATTTACGGATCTATAATCCTATTGGCCGGAGAATAGCTTGCCGACCAACGGGATTACAGCCTGCATTACCTGACAGTTTATCAGAAGGTGAATAAACCGACCCTTAGCGCGATTGTTCGATGAATTTTTATTGTAGTAAAGAAGACTCTTCTTCATGAATCCGGATAACGTTGTTGACTATTAAATAGCGCGTAGTAGTAATTAGTTTAGAGTTCTAAATTCTAAATAAGAGCTTTGTAAACTTGCACATTTAAATAAGAGGGTTGTTATAGTCAGGTCTACAAAACCAGTCGATTAAAAAAAAAAACAAACATAAATATCTGTAAAATATAATAAAAATAGTGAGAAATACAAAAATACATGTTTTGTACCAAAATTAATCTCAAGTTAAATAATAAAAAAAAATAACAGAATATAATATACTATACGTGGGTATTCAAAATAACATAAGATTTATTTGCATGGCAATAACAAAAACTAAAGGAAAAAAAATTAGCCTTAAGTCCAACATTCAAGAACCTGATATTTATTATTAAACCAAATAAACACAGTACTTATTTGTTATTTACACCCCAATTTGATTTTGTACCTAATTTAAACTATATTGCAAAAAAATATACTAAATAGGCATAAAAAACTTCAAGGTTTACAGAGAATATTGCTACTCAAGCAAATTTTCTGGCAGATCTTACTTTATCCAATTACTAATTGCCTATCACAGAATGAAAATTAGAAAAAAACTCTCCACATTGCTACTAAATATAGGGAAAAAAATGTAAAATAGGTTTTCACTTAAATGAATAATGTGCGAAAATATAGGAAAATTGTGCACTAGTAAACTATTCTAAACGTTCCATCTTTGGGTGTAGGTAACAGCAAATAATCTCTCTTTCAGCTTCCTTGGTGGCAACACTTTAATTAGCCTATTGTTTCACAAATGAGTCTAAAATATTGAAATGATTATTACTTTTCTTTGTAGGGGCATTAAAATGCATGCTTTTTTGTAGGTGTTTGCTATAAACTTTCAAAAACTACTAGTTGGTTAGAAAACTCATCATGTATAGATGACTGTTAGAGGAAATTCATTATTATAATTCCCTTTACTAACCAAAAGCCTTATCTATTAGGTACATATATTTTTTTTTTTCTTAGACAGAGACACATTAAAACGTTCCTTAGCTTCTTGCAGTCTTAAAGCTCCATTACGTATGTATAACCGCAGTGTATAGTCACGAGTTTCCTAGAATACAAAAAATTGATTCTCTAAGTTCGACTTTTGATGTACCTAGTTTCCAAGCTTAGACACAACACAAATTTGTACCCAACAACCAAACATATAAAAAGGTGCGTATTTACATGAGCAAACTACATAGTCCAAATGAGCATCAAGGAAAGATATACAGTGTGTCCCGCTTAAGGACTGACCGCCCTTCAAAAATTTTTATTTTTCAACCGATTCAATTTATTTATTTTTTTGTCTTAAATCTGAGCCACATCATTGGGATCTCGGAAACGGTGAGAGATCCAGGGTTGGTTAAATTGGGGCAAAGTTGCGTGATTTGATGCTTGACAAAATGCTGCTTTGATATTTAGGATATCCCGAATACTTCCGGAAATATCCGGAAAAAAAGCGAAATTTTGCAAAATCGTTTTTATTTTTTCCTGACTTTATTTGAAGTGATATTTCAAAAAAAAATAACTTCATCATAGCTACTTTTTCTCCCCTACAAGATGCTACTATCAAATTTAAAATTTGACGTTTCGTTTTTGGGCCACCATCATCAACTTTATTTTTTTAAATACAACCCTGGATTTTTTATTCTAGATTTTTAGAGCTTCTGATGTCCCAAAACCTATGACGTATCGCATTTATTCGAATTATTATTTTTTTTTTCACTTTTTAGTAATTTCCTACCAAAATTCTCTTCTCTGTCTCTCTCGAGAATATTTAGTTTTTATGGAAAGTTCCAATAATATAAATTTTTGTCATACGCTCCCAAAAACAGCTATTTTACGGACTCATTCAAGTCCGTAAAATGCTTCTTTTTAGGATTTTTTTTTTCTTTCTGGATGCACCTTTATGATTTCAAAAATTAAGGAAATTTTGCTAATTTTAGTGATCTGAAGAATTCTAAAAAGCGTATGACAAAAAATAGTGTTTGTCACACGTACCTAAAGAAGTTTTTCAGGACTTGTGACAAAAATAACTATTTTCAAATGAGTTCAATCCGTCATTGTTTTTGGGACATCTGAAGCTTATAAAATCTAATATGAAAAATATGGCTTCGTATTTCAAAAAATGAAGTTGCTGATGGTGGCCCAAAGACGAAACGTCAGATTTTAAATTTGAAGCTAGCATTTTGTAGGAAAGAAAAAGTGGCAATGATGAAGTGACTTTTTTTTTTAAATATCACTTTAAATAAAGTGAAGAAAAAACAAAAACAATTTCGGAAAATTTCGGTTTTTTCTGGATATCTCCGGAAGTATTCGAAATATCCTAAATATCAAAGCAGCATTTTGTTAAACAAAACATCAAATTTCACAACTTAGCCCCAATTTAATCAACCCTGTACCTTTCACCGTTTCCGAGATCCCAATGATGTGGCTCGAATTTGAAACACCCTGTACAGGATGTCCACATTTATAGGCTTAAATTTCAATTCAAGTACTATTAGGGATTTTTTTAGAAAAAATCTGATAGCAAATTCTTGTTTAGAATGGTCTAAAACCCAACTGTACTAATTTTTGTTTCAATACGATACAAGGTGATCACAATAAATTTTCAAAATTTAATAACCAACCCCCAAAAATGACATATTTTGAGGTCTTGAGAACAACAAAACTTGATACAACATAGTTTTAGAACATCCTTAAACAAAACTTGTAGTGAGCTTGTCTCAAAATATGACATTTTTTCGATTTGATTCATTAAATTTTGATCACCTTGCATGGTATACATATATACTGAGTGAGTGAGTGAAACCAGGTGAGTCAATCTACATGTATTTTACTTCAAGAATAGGACTCTTCAGTCATCGGAAGACTCATAGAAGATAGATCTATTACTCTGAAGGGTGGTCATTTAACTTACCATCTTAGATCTAGATACTTTTATTATGTACCGGGTCTTTTTTTATCTTTGATATCATTTTGATCACCTGTAACTTCTTTGTTTTAAAAGATATTAAGGTAAACAAAAAAAAACAAAATGTAGGATTAGTAGTTTTTTTTCAAGTTACACATTAAACAAAACACCATCAATTTTTTAACATATAAGCCTGCATTATATTTTTTCAAATAAAACAACCTGTATAATATATGTTTGTTCGATAGAATATCTTATTCTGATTACAATCACAATGATATAACACGCTTCATTCAGTCCACTCGTTTTTGACAAATCGGCAAAAACCTATGAAATTTTTATATACACTATCAAAAATTCTCGTCTCAAATATCACCCCGCCTAAGTTTCACTTCAAAAGTTTCATATTTTTGCCAATTTGTCAAAAACTAGTGGACTAAAATATGAAGCGTGTTATATCATTGTGATCAGAATAAGATATTATATTGAACACATATATAATATACAGGGTGTTCCATTAAAAAAATATAATGTAGGCTTACATGTCAAAAAATTGATAGTGTTTTATGTGTAACTTGAAAAAAAAAAAACTTGGCCTACATTTTGTTTTTTTGTTTACCTCGATATTTTCAAAAACAAAAAAGTTACAGGTGATCAAATGTATGGTATGAAAAAACAAAGAAAGAATCTGCTAATAATAAGGATAAAAGCTTAGAAACCCTGGAAAACAAATGCTCTGAAATAACACAAGAGCTCCAAACTAAAATAAATAAATTTACTAAGGACAATGAAGCAAAGGCTATTCATATTAAGAGGCTTAACAGGAAAACAAAGGATTTTGAAAATAGCGCCATTGATGCAGAACAGAAGCTTTATACTGAAATAAATAACCAGAAGGCAGAAAATACTTAAACTTCCTCAAAATATCTCGGATCTTATTGACACTAATTTGGATTTGACTGCACAGCTTGAGGAAGTTAAAGTGACTGATAGGGAGCTTAAACAGGTAAATCTTGCAGATTTACCAGAGACCAACAAAAATATGTTAACTAGCATTCAAGTGTTAACACAGGACAGGGAAGCATATATAATGGAGCTGAAGAACGTCAAGCTAAACCTACTATATGCGAAGGAAGAGCTCCAATCTAGTAAATCTAGGAGTGATAGTTTGGAAATGGAAAGGCATCTTGAAGCGGTAAGGCTTTCTGGTTCTTGTACTTCTGGAACTATCCTCAAAAATCAAGAGAATAGTGGAGGTGTCCCCAGAGAGGATGTTACATGCTTTGATGATGTGACATGCCGTAAATCTACTGCCACAGGTGACTCATTTGTTTTATTAAACGACAATAAGGTGATAAATGATTGCATTGCCCTAGATAAAGAGTTGAAAAGTGCCTCATATAAAAGTAATGATTGTAATTTTGCTTGCAAAACATGTATTATCTGCGGTGACTCTAGTGCAAGATCCCTATCTTCTTATGGTTCTTTGTTAATGAAGTCATCACATATATTGAAGGGTCATGTTTCTGGTCTTGATGTCAAAAGGCTAATCGAGAGGGTATTTTTGTTATCTTCTGATTTGACTGAAAGGGTTTGCTTAAATAAACTCTAAATCACCAAACATATTGAAAAGATCCTTTTTCTGGGTAAACAACTAACTTGATAATGGCACTGAAATGTAATTTTAAGAGTTATCCACATAGTAATTTTTTTTCAAATAAATGAAGTTGTAGGTAAATATGCTAGAAGTAATGATTGTAGTATAAGATTAATTTCAAATTTGTGTAATGATCTAAAATAAAGGCACTCGGTCCGGTCTTTGGCCAAACTTCTTGCTGTATATGTGGAGACTGATGCAAAATTTCTTAGCCAAAAAATAGTCTTAAAAGTAGTTCCGTTTACTGATGAATGCAGAATTTCTCCTTGTAATTCAGACAGGGATATTAACGTTTGTGAATATAGGGCTTCAAACGATGTTGCAGATAAGGCTTCGGAATTGGTGACTACGGAAATACAAATTGTCTGGACACCTTGAGTAAATCTTTTTTATACCAAGGGAAACCAAGTATAATTTGTCCCTAGCTTTGCTTAACATCCAATCTATCAGGAATAAGGTGAATGAACTAGAAATATTTCTGGAATCTGTGGATTTTCCCAATATTTTAATTTTAGTAGAACATTGGCTCAAAGAGAATGAACCCTTAAATATTGAAAATTATAGTTTGTTGTCCAAATTTTCTCGTCGAAAGTTTTTACATGGGAAAACGTTAGTTATGACTGTTTTATGGAAAAATACAAATTTGTTAGTGTAAATGAATTTGATAACTTGTTGGAGGAAAAAACCTTTGAGTTCTCGTTAGTTTTGAGCAATAGCTTGTCATTATATATATTAGCAATGTACAGATCTCCTCATGGAAACATTGAGCAATTCTTCGATAGGCTAGAGTCCCTTGTATGTTCCATTCCTATAAACTCTCGATTAATTTTATGTGGAGATTTAAATATAGATTTTTCTAAGCATTTGGACAGATATAAGAAATCCTTATGTAATCTTCTAAATTCTCTCAATTTGAGTATGCATGTAAATCAGGCAACCAGAGTTACTTCTTTGTCAAGCTCAATAATTCACTATTTCTGCTCAAATTTTGGCCTGGATAAAGATCAATGTGTGGTATCCAGTACCGGGTTGTCTGATCATGAAGCTGTAGTGGGCTGTGTAGATCTTGATGTGTGTAAAAGTGGATCTTCTATGAAGAAAGGTAGGCTCTACAGCAAAAAAAAATTAATAAATTCAAATCGCTTTGTGAACGAGCAGACTGGGATACTTTGCTTGAGTCAGATATTTCTTTGGAGAAATTCCATAATCTATAGTGTATAAATTTCTATGGTGCTTTCCCCATTATATCCATTAAAATGGCTAAGAAAAAAGTTTGGTATAAAAAGGGCCTTAGAGTCTCTGGAAAGAACATGCGTGCGCTACATTTTACACTGTGTCCGTAAAGTAACGGATAAATTAATTATTTTGAAAACGGTAGAATTTCCGCTGCTATCAACTTTGTTTTTTCAACCTGTATATTATGACATTTATGGATTATGCGGGAAATTTTTGACATATTTCATGTACAATGTCATATACCTATCTTCAACTGTTTCGGAAATATTGACAGTTGAAAATTGATTTTTTTGCAACTTTGACAGGCTGTAAAACCTGAACGGTTAATTTTAGAGGAAAACCGATTTTACATTCTTATCTTAGATTTTCATAAACTATCATTTGACGCCAACTTTGAAGTTATTCCGTGATTAAAAATTCCAGTTAAATTTAATCTCAGGGTAAAAATTCTACCGTTTTCAAAATAACGAATTTATCCGTTACTTTACGGACACACTGTATACGCAAATACTCAATGGATAATGATAAATTTCTTGAATACTACTATAATTAATGTAAAATATATAGAAAGCTTATGGAAATTGCAAAAAAGTCTTATTTTGATGAGAGGATTGAGAGGGCATCAAACAAATCAAAGGAAGCATGGAAAATCGTAAGCGACTTGCGAGGCAATAAGAACGTTCTTCAGGTCTCGGAAACATTGAAAGCAGATCAGCTTAATTCCTTTTATTGTTCCTTAGCAGCTAAGCTGGCTCATAGTAGTCCAAAAGCTGGCGATCCATTAAAGTACTTATCTCACATAAATGTATCTTACACGTTTTTTCTTGCACCTCTATGTGTGCAGGAACTAAAAGGTGTTTTTTCTGTAATCAGGAACAAAACCTCTTCTAGGTGATGTGAAAATTCTCGGGAAGGGAAGATCAATGCTGCTGTTCCGCAGGGCTCTGTTCTTGGCCCCTTACTGTTTTTACTTTATGTCAAGGATCTGCCACATGTTCCCATAAAGGGGGCCTTTACTATGTTTGCTGATGACACAACTATTTTGTGGCATGGTGTAGATCTGGCAGTGTTAACCAGCAGCATTTCTCACGATCTGTTGGAAGTGAAGAATTGGTGTGATTCTAATTTTCTAAATTTTAATGCAACAAAAACAAGCATCCTATCTTTTGAATGTGTTGTTCAGGGTATTTCTATGGATGCTTCACCACTCCCAGTTCTTGAATTTAACCGATTTCTGGGCCTAACTATTGACAGTTCCTTGAGGTTTGAGGAACACATATCTAAGGTATGTAAAAAAACTTCTTCTGGATGTTATGCCTTTAAGGTAATAAGGCACAATCTAGGTTTCGCTATGGCCAAAAATTCTTACTATGCTATACCTAATAGAACCCTATTTTCGCTACGGCATCGCGTTTTGGGGTGCGTGCTCTCAATATTTATTTACCTCAGTATTTCTACTGCAAAAGAGAGCAATTCGTTATCTCTGTGCTGCAAAAGTCCATGACTCCTGCTGTGGTTTATTTAGCCATTGTGGAAGATTAACCCTTTGCTCGTTGTTCATCCTGGAGACGGTAACTTTTTAAAAAATATAGGAATGCACTTAATCACATTGGACCATATCCGACCCGTCATCCTTTCTCATTGAATCTTCCAATACCTCAGTCTCAACTTGCTAAAAGGTCCTATTTATATGAGGGCAGAAAATTTTTGAACCATCTGCCCACAGAGGTCAGGAGGATTAATTGCTTGAAAAAATTCAGGAGAGCAGTAAAAAGGGTATTAGCACCTGGGGCATATTATACTTTGGTTGAATTTTATGAGACAGTTCTTGACTGATATATAGTATAGTGTGTCTTCTGTCTGGATATTTTCAGTTTATTGATTTTGTACATTTATATGCATGTATATTGTAGGTTTTCTTTATGTATTATTATTGAACTTTAGGTTTTATTGATTAAGTTTTATTGCCTAGTGTTTTAATTTTAACCTGCATTGTTAATTTATTATTATTTGTGTCTAAAGCTATTTTTGACTTTGACTTTGAAAATGATATAAAAGATAAAAGAGCACCCGGTACCTTAATCTTGCGTTAATCTCATACTTGATTTCGAGTTACAGTAATATATTATTGCTTTGTCCAAAATAGGTCGTCTTGTGTATCTACAGGTTTTATTATTAGGATTGTTTCTAATAGAGGCTATACCAATTTTATATAATTTGGTGATTATTTACCCTGAATGTTCTTTTATGTATATTTTTTTTGGGTGTGAATAGATTTGTGTAACCTAGTTGTGTTTGGAGTTTGTGAACACCTGGGTCGTTATTCATGAAATAGGGGAGCAGTGTTCCCAAGAGAACGAGTGTTTCGTCTTTGTTACTTATATTATCAGTTGCATATCATTGAGAAAGGCGGAACACTCATTCTCCTAGCAACATTGCTAACCTGTTTCAAGAATAAGGACCCTGGGGTATATTTTGATACTGCAAAACTGAATTTGGTATTGCTCATTAATGCTTCAGATTTATAATAGAAACATGAACTGAACAGAATAAACATCCACACTCATCGAGAATATCACCGTATAAAATTAAATAAATTTCGAAATAGAAAATGTTTTGAGAGTTCCATTTAACAAAAACCTAATATGTTGAACTAATTCACCTTTTGCTTGCTCGTAAATACGCACCCAGACATTGAAAATTACTGAGGACAGCTTTCATTCCATCAAAGAAAACGTCAATTTACGTTATAATATTTATATTTCGAAAGCTAGATAAGCAGAGCAATAAAACCTTTTAAAAATTTCTCTAGGACTTATTTTTCATATTATATACATAACAATCAGCATTATAAAAAAAAACAGGTCAGCTAACAACTTTTCAAGCATTATCATAATATAGTTTTTATTAAATCTCGAACCAATCAAATCCAATGATTGATTGTTTGAGAATAAACGATAATCTGCAATGTGAGATTTGAATTATCCACTTTTCATTATTATTATTATTATTTCAAATCTACCCGCTACAACATTTACAAATTTTAACAATAAATATGCACAAATATGTACCTGAGCCTTATTTTTACAATATGATTTGAAAAATTTTATCTAGGAAAATATAAAAAGCATTGGTATCATAAATAAATACTAAATACATATATAAAATATCAATAATATCTAGTTGGTACATAAAAAACATGTGATAAAACATTTTTGACAGAATACCTATATAAATAAGTCAATTTTGAACTTAAATCTAGAATAATTATTGCCACATTTGAACATATGAACATTAAGAACGCACTGTGGTGCCAAATAAGTGAAATTTTCAGTACACAGTGCTAAAAGATCACATTTATGAAACAGGAGATTACAAAAAACATTACATCAATTTTTACAAATACATATGAGTGATGGAATGTAAACAATTAATTCACGGATGATACGGCCATTCGTATTATTCGCAAAAATACTGCTAACTAGAATTTTGAAAATAAAATATATCCTGGAGCTAGTTTAGCTCGCTAGGGAACAAAATACTTTATCACTTAATGTCAAAATACTATACAGTACAGAAACTTGGTTATTAATATTTTCTTATGAAGTATATCGAAGAGTTTTCATACTTGTACTAGAAAAAAAAATAACAAAAATAAAAATAAAAAACCAACCAACCACAAAAATGTTAAGAACCAAGTTTAATAGGCATATTATTATAAAACAGATCATATTCACAATTATTGATGAAGCAATAGAGACGATATTTTAATTACTTATTTTAACTAGAAAATAATAATAATATTCGCCAATGTTCCAACATCGTGTTTAATAAGAGGCTTAAGGGTTACAAAAATATTTCTCGACCCTCAAAAATAAATACTTGAGCCAATTCAAGACTTACTAGCGATTGTTAAGAATTCATTTTGTAATTCAGTAATAGATTTATTCTTGTAGCCTCATTCCTCGAAAATTACACAGCACAAGCGTCAAAGTCTTAAAACAATCCCTCTGTGGTAAAACAAACCCACAGTAGAGATATATTTTAGGAGCGATCACACGCAAGATGATAAAAATGATGACGAACACACTATCAATGGAGCAAAATCAGTTTGCTATTACACCAATTTTACATATAGTTCTGTCATTGTCAATCGTAATCCAGCTCGACGCGGTTCTTCAACTGTTCCTGATTGGTTCAAAGGATAATACGTGTTAGAGACACTTGTAATAATGTCAGTGTACACAGATAAAAAAAATATTGTTACGAAGGAATAAGCTAATCTATATTTCTAGATCGACATTGAAAATTTATTATGAAATATCTGAGTGTGATCTAGAAATAAACATTAAAATTTTTAAATTCTTGCCACTCATGTTATTTTCATTGGGATTTTAGAATGCAATGTGCAGCTGAAGTTAATCACTTAATTACATTCTAGTGGCAATTACTTAAAAATAATCTTATTAATTTTTTAAGACTGAATGATATGACAAAGACAAAGTTAGTCAACATTATCACATAAGCAATGAAAATGAAGTTAGGCTTGTTTATTAATTAGGAAAACTTATTTTCCATTTTTTTCATTATTTGAGTTACATCATCAAAACTACTTGCAGTCTTGCAGTGTTATCAAATGAGTACCAAAGGATAGAGGGATGATTAAGACCTAATAGATACCTATAATAAAAGTCAATACAGTGAATATTCCGTTATTTCATGAAACTAAGAATACATAGCAAAAAATAATTTTGAGTAATATGCGCAGTTTTAGTACGTGTTTTACGTGATTATGATCTTAATCATGTCTCTGGCCTGTGCTTACCTAGTTAAGTTTCACTGAAAATATTGTCTACCATATATTCATTAAGCCCTAAAAAATCATACAAAAATAAATTTCAAAAACATAAATTAAAGTCATGCATAGCCTAAAAATGTTAGGTAAAAATTAAAAAGTCTAATAGCTCAGGATACTAGGATCAAATAGGGCTAAGGTACATTGAATATCTAATTTCTTTCAAGTTTACTAGGTAGGTAGAGGTACACTGAGTCCAAAATAAGTTTGGGTTAGTTATCTCAGCATTTCTATGCTCACGTATTTGTGGATCGGCAAATTGTTCGAAATTATATACTGCATTATATAATTCTGCAAGAGGCTTGTTAAACGCGCAAAATAAAACAACTACAAAAAAGCATGCATTAGTAGCAATAATAATAAATCCGGTGATCACGACATTGAACTGTGTACACGGACAACAAATAAATTTGGGAGAAAAATGGTTCGGTTAATTTCCGCCAAAGCAAAGTTTTCTAAAGTAGCAGACAAGTCACCCCGTTACCAATGAAATGTCAAATATTTTAAAACTAGCCATTGTGTAATAACAACTGATTTAATACAAAAATCAGTGAAGGTGCGATGTGATTTATTTTAGGAGTATTCAGGATATTTGGATTTTTCAATTTGAAATATATAATAAAAAAATATTGGCACATAAGATTCCATCAAATAACCCAAAACTCCTAATTTATTTAGCCGACTTTCAAATTTAGCGTTTAGAACTTACCATTTCCGTTGTCAGGCAGTTAATGGCGTGCTCTACAGTTTTTTTGTGGTGCTTACTGGAAGTACTCGAGCCTTTTCTAAACGGGGTCGTTGGACAACCTGTGGATTGACAAGATTTTGTTTGAGGGTTTCCATTTTTTATTAAAAAAAAAGAAAATAATTGAAAGATTTATAGAAAGCATGCATTAAGAGAACAAAATAATCAACACTTAAAGGGTAACTTACACAAATAAACATTCATATTCAGCAAAAAGCAAATGTTGATAAAACCACAAAGAATGAGTGAATAATTACATATTTGGTTTTATCTTACCTATTCATTGTTAATACCTTTTTTAAAATATTGGTTATGTCATAGTTGAAATAAAGTTATAAAAATAATACATTGCGTGTAATAATTAATACATAAAAAAAAGCTAAAGAAATAATTATAGAAGAGTGATTTCCAGTAACAGCAAATTTTGATTCGGTAACTTTCCAAAAATATAACATTTAGATACATTGAAGAAACAAAAATATAACTAACCGTAAAAATTCTTATCAACTATTATTAGTAGAAAAATGGGCCTAAATCGGCATTGGATTTCTTGCTAATTGTGAAATGCATGTTGAATAACAAATATTTAAAATGTGTTTTTGAAAAATGATAGGATGCTAAAAACTTTCACATTACAGGCATCAGATTTTATGTGCATCGCATCATCGTTGGAAATTTGGCAGGTTGACCCTCTTATAATAATGACATTTGATGACAAAGTATTTTTCAAATTGCAGGGTTATGAAACAGAAAGCCGAGTTGCCAGAATGTGCATACTATTTTATTTACCATCATTCTAGTCTGGGAAAATTGTCGAAAAATACATGCATTGCAAAAAAAAATCCTACCCAAATAAATTTTTAAGAGATGATAGGGGCGTGGGGTGATAAAAGATGTGCAACATTATTTGATCTACAATGTTTATCTAAAGACTTTTCTGATTGAGGGCCGTCTGTGGTCATAAGGGCCATTTGAAATTCATAATGAAAATAAAAAAAATTAACCAACGTGAAAAAAGTTTCTACAACACATACAACGTTTTTGCTTTATGAAGTTTTTTTTTACTCACCCCCTGCCGTTTTTCAAAAGGGGAATAGTTTAATGTTTTTTTAATTTTTTTACAAAAAAAAATTCTTAATAAAAGTTTAAAGAATAGTTATTTATGCAACAAGTGTGTAAAGTGAACCTTTTGCTTTACACACGTATTGCATACAAAATTTGTTCTACTACCAATCAAATATGTGTAAAAAAATAGATTTTGACAAATACTTTACGAACTAGTGCGTGAAGTAATTCACCAGAAAAATACTAAATTGACAGTGTCAACATCTGTCATTGACATTACTTTACGCACTACTGTGTGAAGTGAATTACTTTACGCACTAGTGCGTGAAGTGGAATTTTACGTCTTCTGAATAGTGTGTAAAGTGAGTACTTTACGCACGGTAGTAGAAAAATTACATTTCCTACAATTTTTCCTTATCAACTATTTTTGGAACTCACCCCCATTCAACGGGAGGACACTTCCCTTAGGAAAATTTTCGTGTTTAGGGGTATATATTGTTTTTTTTTTTTCTTTTTTCGCCTTTAGTGTATATAAAATTTGTAATTAACATTGTATTAAAAGGATTTTTTTTCCACCACCTTTTTGTTTTTAGGGGTAGTTGGCCTATTTATTTTCAACTTTACAAAAAAAATTTATTAAGAAAACTTGTTCATTTTATTATTTTGGACAATTTTTCTTTATAATTTTTTTTGTAAAGCTGAAAATAGGCGAACTACTCCTAAAAACAAAAAGGTGGTGGAAAAAAAATTCTTTTAATACAATGTTAATTGCAAATTTTATATTATATACTTACACTAAAGGCGAAAAAAAAAAAAAAAAAAAAACAATATATGTATACCCCTAAAAACTAAAATTTCAAAATTTCCGTAAGGGAAGTGTCCCCCCGCTGAATGGGGATGAGTTACAGCAAAAGTTGATTGGGAAAAATTGTAGGAAATGTAATTTTATAAAACTGTTATTGCGAAAAAAATTTTGTAAAAAAATAAAAAAAAATTTAAACTACCCCTATTGAAAAATGGCAGGGGGTGAGTAAAAATTTCATAGAGCAAAAACGTCGTATGTGTTGTAGAAATTTTTTTCATGTTGGCTAAAATTTTTTATTTTCATTATAAATTTCAAATGGCCCCCATGACCACAGACGGCCCTTAATCAAAAAAGTCTTTAGATAAACATTGTAGATCAAATAATGTTGCACATCTTTTATCTGAAACATTTTTTTGTAAAATCAATAGGGTCCAAGTAATCGCCAATGACGCACTTTCAACCTCTATAGCGCAAAACGCCAGAGGGGTGAATGTGTGATATCTTCTTTATGATCACCCACCCGCCGCCTATCATCACTGAAAAATTAATTTGGGTAGGAATTTTTTCTTTGAAAATTGACAATTTTCCTAGACTATTCGAATTTTGTTATTTTTATTAGAATGAAAACTGACAAAATACAATAAATAACAATTTCGTTTACTTTCAGCCCACGGGAGGAAAGTAAACTTTCAACCCGTGGTTGGAAAGTAAAAGTCAAAAAATATAATAAAATAAGGTAAACCACAACGCCCTTCTTTCAAAGCTCTTAAGTCATGGCATTTCTGGACTCTTACTTTCATGGATGAAATCTTACTTTATAACAATTTCATTTACTTCCGACCCACGAGAGGCAAGTAAACTTTCGACCCGTGGGTGGAAAGTGAAAGTCAAAAACTAGGTCAAAAAAGTGACATTTCCAAACCTTTTAAAAGTCATAAAAGTCAACATTACATGTATGATTGTAAATAAAAATATTGGTTGCTGGTTGTAAGAAATGGCTTTATATCTACATTTAAACTATACCTACCCCAAATATATCTGGTAGATGGGGTGCAACTATTATTCCCTGAAGAACCTCTGGTTTGTTTTTCTTGAAATAGCTGTAACATTTCAATATTTCCCCTACTTATTTTCTCTTATAAAATTATTTTGGGTATCTTCTATATGAAATGAATTTGAGAATGCCGAATTTTAAAAAATGTCAATAGATTTTGCAGGTATGCAATATGCAATAGTTAGGTACCGTTTATATGTTGAACTATTGAAAATGTGTCAAATTTGATTGGTCAGATAGGCCAGAGAATTTCAATTCCGCGACACACTTAAAACTGTCTGTAATTTGAATGGTAATTTGCTACCTCAATGGTAATTTGACATATAATGTCATTCGAGGGGTTGTTAACTCTTTACAATATTGTGGCGATTCGCCAGGCTGTCAAGAATCTCTCGGCATTCCCTCTTGAGTATCCTAGAATCTAGCGAATTATTATACTTAATTCGGGAAAATAAGATTATCGTGTGTATTCTAGATTTTACAGGAATAGATTTAGGGATATATATAAAGGCGGCTATTGCTTTGTAGTTTTTAGTTTCAGTTTGACTGTGATACGATTTGAATAGTGATTTGTTGTAAAGAGTTTAATTGTTGAGTTAGTTATTAAAGTAATTAGTGTCAAAGTGTATTGTTACGTGGAATAAATTATTGCTGTGTTAATTGGACTTTGATTTTTGTAATAAACGAAACGAACCCAAGATTTCTGTCAGGCAATCCAAAGCTGTGACAATATGTAGGTACATAGATTTTAAATCTTGTAGGATTTTTAGGAATTTGAAAATCTTCACAGGCTTTTAAAAGTTTTCAGATTTATAAGATTTTAAGTGATTTTGGAGCATTTTAGGGAATGTAGAAGGGCTTTTAGAGATTCTATAGAATTCTTAGAGATTATATAGAGAATTCTTAGGAATTTTTTTTAGGAATATTAATCATTTTATCAGATTTTGTTGGATTGTTTTTGTTCTAATAAAAATTTGATAGATTTGGTTGGATTTTTAAAGATTTTCGGAGATTTTGAGTAGATCTTACGAGTTTTTCTGGGATTTCGACCAACTTTTACACATATTTTAACCAATTACCCGCTCCGATGTTTAGTTAAATCCATAAAATGTGTACACATATTTTCCCGCATATTTTAAATCTTTATTGATTTTGTAGGATTTTGAGGATTTTGAAAATTTTCACATGATTTTACAGGAGTTCAGAAGATTTTAGATTTTCAAGATTTTAGGTAATTCTGGAGCGTTTCAGGGGTTTTTGAAAAGTTTCTAGAGATTCTACAGGATTCTTAGAGATTTCAACAGATTTTTGGGGATTCCAAAGGATTTTTGGGAATTTCACAAGCATTTTTTTTTAAGGAATGTTAATGATTTTATAAGATTTTGCGGGATTTTTTTAGTTTCGATAAAATTTTGTGAGATTTTGGAGGATTTTATGCGATTTCAAAAGATTTTGTGAGATTTTGTTAAATTTTTAAGGATTTTGAAGATTTTTAGAGATTTCAAGTAGATCTTATGAGATTTTCTAGGATTATCACCAACTTGTACACAGATTTTGACCATTTAACCGCCCCTCGATGTCATTATTATACGAAGGTCGACCTGTTAAAGGATAACGCACACCCAATATGGGATTTTCGGGCTCTATGGATTTTGCCTATTTTTTTTATGTTGAAGAGGATTTAATTCTTGACAACCTTTAAATGGGACGAAATCTTGTAGGTATTACGGTTTTTGAAATATGAGCGTTGAAAGATGAACTTTTTGCGACTTTTTGTGTGGAGAGTTTACGAAATACTGGTGCTACTGGTGTTTATATTGACAGGTTCACATATTTTACGTCACTACATAGGCTAAGTCCGGGACGCACTAGCGCCAACATGGACCCCAGTGTGGTCCCGGCCTTAGCCTATGTTGACATGAATTTCTTAGTGACGTAAAATATATGAACCTGTCAATATTTTGACTGATAAACACCAGTATTTCGTATACTCTCCACACAAAAAGTCGCAAAAAGGTTATCTTTCAACGATCATATCTCAAAGACCTTAATACCTACAAGATTTCGTCTGATTTAAAAGTTGTTGAGAATTGAATACTCTACAACATATCAAAAAATGGGCAAAATCCATAGGGCACAAAAATTCCATGTTAGGTGTGCGTTATCTTTTCCAAGGATGATGAGATGCCAATAGTACCTGAAAGACAAATATCAAAGTTATTTTGGAATAGTTTGGGTTAGATGGAAGTCGATTGATCATTTTCCCTACTGAACTTTTACCTCGAGCAAGGGATTGTTCCAGCAAGAAATCAGAAATTTGTTAGGCCTATCAAATCTTTGTGAATTGTGTCGGACCATAGTTTGAATTCTTGTTAAAACGAACTTATTATAGCTCAATAATGTTATAGAGTTAATAAAAAAGTCAACTTGACCGTTTCCCAGTTATTTCACAAACTATGAACTTATTTTTGATTGAATATTTATAGCCACAAATATCGAAAAGTTTTATTTAAATATTAAACACGTAAGTATTACAGATATTTTAAATAATTATGAATTTTCTTTCAAGGCTGCAATGCACAAAGTGCAGTTGCCCTTAAATATGTGGGTTTATTGAATGAAATATGTAAACATTTAAACCAAACAAAAGAATAAACCTTGAAATATCTTCAAACCAACTAACGACAAGTTTCATCTGCAATGATTAACATTTTTAGTACCTTTCTGAACCAAAAATTCTGTTGTTGACCTTTTTTGCATATTTCATTAATTGTTTGTAAATCAAATTTATATTTCTGTTCAATTTTTGATCACACACAGATCAGTGAATTCAATATTATCACACAAAGGTCAGTGGATGCAATGATAATATTTTCTGCCCATTCCATGAATAAATGAACGGATGCTTTATATATTAACCAGCAATTTACAAATAAAAAAAATTGACAACACACAGGGTTCACATTTTTCTTATACACTAATAATAATCACAACAACAAAAAATTTGGATATGGAAACAAATTTGGCAATAAGGTATTACTGAAGTCTAAAGTGAGACACTTCTGAAAAAGTGAAAAATGCGAACTTCTATGCATATTGTATGGGAAAGATAGGCTCGTGCTTTTGTCAGAAATGTCATTCATTAAAAAATATACTATTCTGATAGGATATTTTATGTAGAACAGTTTCCTTCGTTTGATATTTTCCTGAACAAAATGCATAGAAAACGAGTTATTTCCTTGCATGTGATTTTCCATTTTTGAAAGGGAGATGACGTCCTGTGGTTAAATCCCAAGATAATTTGTAATCTATTGGTTTTCTGCATAAAAAGTCAACAATGTAATTTCTAGTTCTAGTATGCCCTTAAAGTGATACACAAAAAAAGCGCGCGTGCAAGCCTCCAGCCACACAACTACTACCACTCACCCATATCCCCGCTACTTGACGATTCGGTAAATGAAGGTGTACCTTCGGTCCAGGTGGGCGTCGATCCCTCGACGGAAGTCGGAGGCGTCCACACCAACCCTGTTCTCGACGAGTGACCGCCTGAGGAACTATGACCACCGGCCGTTGAACTACCTCCCGACGATCCTACGCTGAGCGAGGACTTAGTCTCAGCTCGCGACGATTCCAATTTGATATCGGTTATACTGGAAATATAACTATTTTTTTTATAACATTAGCAACAAAAACTGCCGAGCTCTTACCTGACCGAATCGTCTTTGTAGTTTTTCATGACCACGTGGTGGTGATGCGAGCTACTGTGATGATGTCCCCCGGGATGGTGTCTGGAACCCCAGGCGGAAGAAGCTGGTCCCGAAACGGAACCGGTCGTGGATCCCGCGTCGCTCCGGTCAAGTCCTTCGGAATAGGTGGGGGGCGGTGTACTGCAGCAACTGGGTACTACACCTGCACATACAAGCGCCTGCGCTACAGTCTAGCCACTAACACAATATGAGGGTTAATGCGAGGGTTCATTTCTATGCATGATATAGGGTTATGTGACTAGACTAAGACAGCTGTTGAATCTATATGTGAACTTAAATTTTGTTTACTTATTCTAAGATCCAGTTTATCTATACGTACTTAATGTAATCATTGTTATGAATATCAGTACTGAACTTCTTAGATACTTTAAGCTTCATTAAACTTGGTTGCAAGAAAACTTATGTAATAGCCTAATTAATTTAGATGGGTATACTGCATACCGTCAAGACCGGCAAAACCAAAAAGGTGGGGGTGTGTGTATTTTAGTTAAACCAAATACGTGGAAATAATACAAATTGTAGCATCTCCTTAATTACAGAATGGAAGCACCGATTGATGCAGTTTGCTTAGACATCCAAATAGGAAGTATAAAAATATCCCTTGCATGCATTTATAGGCCAGGTACTACGACCAGTGAGGAAGCCAATACACTTATGACAAATACTATAAAAAAGGCCTACATCCGAAACCACCCCATTTAAACTGTGGGAGACTTCAACTTCCCAAAACATAAATTGGGAAAACCATATAATTGCACCTCCAGACAAAAAAAAAACATAGGAATTTATGGACATGTATCTTGAAACAAATGTGCATCAAATTGTGAATTTTCCAACAAAAATGTTTCAAAACACTTGCTTTTAATAAGTGCATTGAAGAAGTTACTGGACCCGTGTAACGCCACCTAAATGGTCAAAACGTTGGAACTTGTACCTATTTCTTCTATTTCTAAAAATTGAATTTTTGCATTGATAAACTGGAACTTAGGAGTATACAGTTTGGTTCACATAAGATGGTATTATGGAGAATAGTTATGTAGATAGCAACTCATTTGATGTTATTAAAATATATGTCACAAATAAATGGTTAACAATCAAGGTTGAAATAAATGTAACGAGTGTAAAAAAATAGAACACAGCACAAAGTTAAAAATATTAAAAGATACACACAAATCAAGCCCAAAAAGCGAAACAGCCGACTTTTCTCCTGTCATAGGTCCTATGCGAATAATAACCTGGCAAAGAATAATAAAAAAAATGTCTAATAAAGGGAAACGTAGCTACAAAAGCAACAAAAATATTTCCTTCAAGATTTTCAAACTTTTTTCAATTGGCATATATTTAAAAGTAGAAATAAATAATCTAATCTAATAAATTTAATCTATATTAACTCTTATAATATCGTCAGAAAGTTACAAAAAAAAATACCTTCCTTGGACACAAGTTTCAACGACAATGGATTAGTATTATTTAGTTCTTGTGCTTTTTAGTTGAGTACTACTCTTTGTTTTATAAAGGTTAATATAGATAAGTACAAATGAAACATTCACTGTAATAAGGATTTGTCTTCCAAATATATATATTTTTTTTTAACCCAAAAGCATGCACGTCATTCAAACAAATTTCTCGAAAACATTTTTAACTCTACCAAACATATCAATATCTCTATATTTCAAACACTTCCTAGGAGAACAATCAAACTCCACTCTCAAATTACTACTTTTAGGCCACAAGCACACTACTCCCCTAATTTGCTCATCACTCTCACTCGAAACCTCATTAAATCTTGCAACTAATCTACTAACATAACCCCTAACAGGTTTCGGAGAGCTTCTAGCACTGCAAAATCTATACGGCGATAGAGAACTCAAACCAAGCAAAGAACGACAAGCTTGCGGGGATGCCAATAAGCCCTTCACACCTTTTCCATTCAGGTCGATGCGTTGTTTAGTTTTCGGGGTACCCCGTGGGGGTACTGGGGGCGGCACTTTCTGCTTAGGACCCACCAACACGGCGGGGAAGATCGCAGGCGGTGACGTTAACGGTGTGGAAGAGGATGTGTAGGGAGGAGATATAGGGGCCGTTGTAATGAGAGTCGAGGTAGTAGGAGGTAGGCTTTTCGTACTTGTTGGTATAGGAGCTTCTGTGGGGCTAACTGAGGATTAATAATAAATTGGAAGGGAAAGATTCCGAGTAGGCGGCATGAAAAAGAAACAGTATGAGAGAATACATATTCAAAATAGATATCCAAAATTTGATTTTTTTTAACCAAATATTTAAATTTACTTTATTTTGTTATTTTATATTATTAGCTAAAGCACAGACTAATAAAAACAAGCATAAAAATAATAATTGTGAGACAAGTTTTTGACAAATTTAAAACTTTCAAACAAATCAAAGGTCAGCACTTGTCTTTTTTGAAGCACTCACCATTTATTAATCCATTTTGCTGATTAGTTGTAGCACATACTAGAAAATTAACTGTACAACCCCATACCAATTTAAATTAACAAAAAAAAAAAAAAAAATATAAATAATAAGCATCAATATAAGCCTTGAAAAAGCACTTTACCAATTTTACAAAATATCAGTAAGTACTTACTATTTTCTAACAACTCTTCGTGTCTTAAAGGTTTCGACAGCGATTTTCGTTTTGACGGGGAATGTTTGAGAGCTGTAACAAGAATGAAACCTAATGAAAATCCGAAATTTATTTTATTTTCAGTATAAAAACAAAATATTGAGAAAAAGCAACATTAACATAATATTATGAAACAACAACGAATAGCCTATGTAAGTATGTACATTAAAAGCCCAAAACATATTAAAGACTGGAAAATTAATATACAAAAGGATAGGAAGGCAGAACAACACAAAATATTTTCATCTTCAACATAAAAATACAATACACAAATTACCTTTCTTTGATACTTGTGATTAAAGAACATTTAAAAAATTGTATTGAAAAGAAAAAAAATTGTGCACAAAAACAACATAAAATCCACTCAAATATTTGTTGCCCATGTAGTCTAGGAAAATAGTCAAAAAATACATGCATTGCAAAAAAAAAATTCCTACCCAAATGAACTTTTCAGGGATGATAGAGGGCGGGTGGGTGATCATAAAACCGAAAATATCAAACATTCATCCCTCTGGCGTTTTGCGCTATAGGGGTTGAAAGTGCGCTATTGGCGATTACTTGGTACCTATTGATTTTACAAAAAAATGTTTCAAATAAAAGATGTGCAACATTATTTGATCTACAATGTTTATCTAAAGACTTTTTTGATTGAGGGCCGTCTGTGGTCATAAGGGCCGTTTGAAATTTTATAATGAAAATGAAAAATTTTAACCAACGTGAAAAAATTTTCTACAATACTACAACATTTTTGCTTTATGAAGTTTTTACTCACCCCCTGCCGTTTTTCAATAGGGGTAGTTTAAAGTTTATTTATTTTTTTACAAAAAAAATTTCCTAATAAAAGTTTTATAAGATTACATTTCCTACAATTTTTCCCAATCAACTTTTTTTGTAACTCACCCCCATTCAGCGGGGGGACACGTCCCTTAGGGAAATTCTAGTTTTTAGGGGTATATATTAATTTTTTTTTCTTTTCTCGCCTTTAGTGCATATAAAAAGGTGCAATTAACATTGTATTAAAAGGATTTTTTTTTCCATCACCTTTTTGTTTTTAGGGGTAGTTCGCCTATTTTCAACTTTACAAAAAAAAGTTATAGAGAAAAGTTGTTCAAAATAATAAAATGAACAAGTTTTCTTTATAATTTTTTTTTGTAAAGTTGAAAATAGACGAACTACCCCTAAAAACAAAAAGGTGGTGGCAAAAAAATCCTTTCAATACAATGTTAATTGCAACTTTTCATATGCACTAAAGGCGAGAAAAGAAAAAAAAAATTAATATATACCCCTAAAAACTAAAATTTCCCCGAGGGAAATGTCCCCCCGCTGAATGGGGGTGAGTAACAAAAAAAGTTGATTTGGCAAAATTGTAGGAAATGTCATCTTATAAAACTTTTATTAAGAAAATTTTTTTGTAAAAAAATAAAAAAACTTTAAACTACCCCTATTGAAAAACGGCAGGGGGTGAGTAAAAACTTCATGAAGCAAAAATGTTGTATGTGTTGTAGAAAATTTTTTCACGTTGGTTAAAATTTTTCATTTTCATTATAAAATTTCAAACGGCCCTTATGACCACAGACGGCCCTTAATCAAAAAAGTCTTTAGATAAACATTGTAGATCAAATAATGTTGTACATCTTTTATTTGAAACATTTTTTTGTAAAATCAATAGGTACCAAGTAATCGCCAATGGCGCACTTTCAACCCCTATAGCGCAAAACGCCAGAGGGGTGAATATTTGATATTTCCGGTTTTATGATCACCCACCCTCCCCCTATCATCCCTGGAAAGTTCTTTTGGGTAGGATTTTTTTTTTTTTTGAAAATCGACAATTTTCCTAGACTAATGAACAGGTTGATATATTAATGAGTGGTATAAAGCTAATGTGACACTTGGCAATTATTTTGTGGATACAATACCAATTTTGTATCAAAATAATTGCTAAACTGTCTAACAAAAATAATAAGTAAAAAGCAGAAACATAACAAAAAAAGAAATGTGTGAAAAGAATTAACAACTTTACCTATGTAGCTCGTTACCAGGGTGCGGAATTTACGATGGTTGCCCTTAATTTCAGGCAGGTCCACTACAACGAAGCATTAAAAACACACACAAAAAATCAGAACTACCCATTATAGCAACAATTACTATCGCTTTTAAGGTTTTAAATAGGAAAACAGGAAAATATTATTCAATTATACAGTAATGTCTGCTTATAATTGAAAAATGGTAGGTCTGTGGAATCATCTCTGTTTTTTGCTGATTTATATTTTACTTTTGAAGGACTTAATTCAGCACACTCCTTATCCACCCACGAATAAGATTTATCGATTTTGGAAATTCAGAATAAAATCCAGTTTCAAGTTCTTTACAACCAGAATCTTTTTGTTATTTGTATAAAAAAAAAAAGTTTAATAATACTTTAGTTTGTTCATTGTTCTTCAACGATATTGTTGTAAGCAGACATTACTGTAGTTGCTCAAATATCATTCAAGCAACAATATTAATAATTTAGTTACCATGAGCCTACAATTTATCATTGTACCTGAAGAAGATAATTAGTTGTAATTTAATTCAATTTTGAATTAACCTTTAAATATATTGAATCTATCTACTACATTTATGGGTGGCATTTCAGGAAATATCAAGCTTACTTCATGAACGATAAAAAAACTTATTGAAAAATTCAAGTTCAATATTTCCCACCAAACATTTAAATGGTCAATACAAAAAACACCCATTGCATTAAAGGGTATAAATTCGATCTGATTATTCAAATAAAATACTTACGAGACGGAATTTTCTTAAATACTTTTTCGGCCATGAACTTTTGAAAACGCTGAGCATAAAAGCTGGGTCTGTGAACCGAAACGGTATCCTAAAAATATTAAAGTTAAAAAAAAAATCACATTTGAAAAAAATTCTTACTCCGTCATGTATCATAGACTTCCAGGTATGCTCCAGTTTTTTCTTCAGTCGATAACTCTGCAAAATGTCAATAATACCGATGAACAGGAGCAGTCGCTCTCCTTTGGCGTTACGTGCCGGAATTCCACCAGGACTGAAAAAGGAAAATTGACAATTTGATATTAAAAAGGAAAAATACAATATTGGGATTTTGGGATATAACCAAAATAGAAGTGACCTTTGCATAAAAAACCCACCTGTAATTATTCATATTCCATCTTCTTTTTATAATTGGAACTCTACAGCTACATTGATCTCTGCAGAAACATTGAATAAATAATGTCCAACGATTTTTGGTGTTGAAGAAAATTCTATATTGAAACTGGCATTTGTTTTCTATGCGAAATATGCAAAATAGCAGGAAAGCTGAGTGCTTTTGGACTGTGTGCAGATGATTGATGTACTACTGTATATTTATTGAACTTGAGACTATAGAGTGTTTTGTAAGATTCAAAAACTATATTGTAGGTATAATATACACAAGGCCTGCTTTATTATCAATATAGAAGCTTTTCTGAATTTAGATACTCAGTTTTACTTTCATTCAAAAGTCTATTGTCAGCGTCATAATTTATAAATACATACAGGGTGTCCCACGGTGGAAACGTATTAGACGTTTATGGAGAACTAAAAAGCGGATCATTTTGAAAATTTGGCAACCGGGATAAACGACCATGATCTACACTTTAAAAATATTTTTGTTTATGCGGTGTTGCCGCTTCTACTCTAAACCAGTGGCAACATCGCTATTTTAAATGGAATAGCCTGTATATGATTGCATATTTGGATTCTACTTAAAATTCTGAGCAGATTTCATGTGATATACCCTATACCTAAGTTCAACTGTTTTGGAAATATTGACAGTTGAAAATTGACTTTTTGCAACTTTGACAGGCTGTAAAACCTGAACGGTTAATTTTAGAGAAAAACCGATTTCACATTCCTATCTTAGATTTTTGTAAACTATCATTTGACACCAACTTCGAGTTTGATCTATGATTAAAAATTCCAATTAAATTTAATCTCCGGTTAAATTCAAAGTTGGTGACAAATGATAGTTCATGAAAATCTAAGATAGAAATGTGAAATAGGTTTTTCTCTAAAATTAACCGTTCAGGTTTTACAGCCTGTTAAAGTTGCAAAAAGTCAATTTTCAACTGTCAATATTTCCAAAACAGTTGAACTCAGGTATAGGGTATATCACATGAAATCTGCTCAGATTTTTACGTAGAATCCAAATATGCAATCACATACAGGGTGTTCTATTTAAAATAGCGATGTTGCCACTGGTTTAGAGTAGAAGCAGCAACACCGCATAAATAAAAATATTTTTAAAGTGTAGATTATGTTCGTTTATCCCGGTTGCCAAATTTTCAAAATGATCCGCTTTTTAGTTTTCCATAAACGTCTAATACGCCATCCGCCGTGGAACACCCTGTATGTACAAGGTTATTAGTTATAAATGTCACCCCCCTCTACTATTTTTATTTGACATTTTTGAAAGACGCTCCATCAGAGGAAAGGGTCAACAGCAGAAGTTCTTTGACAAATTTGATGAAATCCTAGTAGATATTGGAAGAAACAGAGAAATTAAAATGATAGGGGATTTCAATAAAAGAACGGGAAAGACGAACAATAGCCCAGTTGTAGGACTATTTGGAGAAGAAATAATCAATGATAATGGCCAAAGGCTTATACCTATCTGTGAGACCCACACTCTGAGAATAAACAACGGATTTTTAAGACACAAAGATATTCACCCCTACACATGGATACAGAATACTTGTAACCTGAAAACTATTATTGACTATGTGATAAGCAAATAAGGAAAAGATAAACGACGTAAGAGTCCTAAGAGGAATAACTTGCGGGTCAGATCATTTTTTATTAAGGGCCAAAATAATGCTGCACTTTAGGAAAATTAACAAGAACCCAGAGGAACAAAACACCAATGCCATACTCATGGACACAGTGGATACAACAAAATACAATTTTGACAGTTTTAGAGATGAAAGTAATGTATTTCTATATTAAAAACGATTCGAAAGCAAACTATTGAACCCTGAAGAATGTACCTTCAATAAACCCTATGAGAACATTATAAGGAGTCTAATCCTATTTCACCCAAGAAGCAATAGGAACGGAGAAAAATACCAACAGGAATTACTGGTGGAACGAGGAGATAGATCTATTAGTCCAAGAGAAAAAGCAAAAATACCTGAAATGGCTAACAGCAAAAAATTAACAAGACCTTTATAAAGATACAAAAAGACAACTAAGAACGTGCATCACTATATCTAAGAACGAGCCATGGGATAAGATGTGTGAAGAAATTAACACCTACATAGGGGGAAAGACATGCTCAGAGGTATGGAGATTTATATCAAATGTCAAAAACCCAGGAAGGGACAGAGCTAATATCCAGGTAATCAAACCAGAGCCATGGATAGAAGAAGACGGTAAGAAAACGAATAGAACATACTCTATCTGAAGCTAACTTTATTACTTTTGTCAAGTTCCGACATCTGTCGCTAGTTACCTTTTCCTACCTATATTATATCTACTAGTACATCCCCCTTTCTTCACAAACACAAACTTAACTAAGTAACAACAAAAGAATACATAATAAATATGATTTTACAGATTAGGTGAACGTTTTAAATATCTTCTATTTCGTCTATATATCTGTCATTGTTCGTTTCAACCTTATAAGATCGAGGAGCCACTTCATCTTGAACGTATGCTTCTTTTTGATTATCTGAAATCCATACCCTCTGCCCTTTATCGTATTGTCCAACATTCCGCGCTCTATGTCTTTGGTCAAAATAGTATTTCTGTTACTTCTTCTCTTCTTCCTTATTCTCGTTAATTTTTTTTTTAAATCTGGCAATTTTGATTTCAAAAATGATTTTGAACTTCTATTTGCTCTCGTAAATTTTTACCCATCAAAAGTTGACTTGGACTCGCGCCACAACTCAGAGGTGTATTTCTGTAGGCAAGTAATCCTAAGTTGAAATCTTCTGACCTTTTAAGAATCTTCTTGTTTTAACACCACTTTCTGCCAAACCATTTGATTGTGCTGCTCGAACGCCATTCAAATCCATGAGTTTTCGCAAAATTTTTGAAAAATAAACAATTGTATTGAGGTCCATTATCCGTACGTAATATTTTTGGAATTCCAAATCTGGCAAATATTTTTTTGAGTTCTTCTACTATAGTTGCACTAGTTGTATTTTTCAAATCAATTACTTCTAAAAACAAACTATAATAGTCCTGTACAACCATATACATTTTGTTTTTAAATTGGAATAAATCAGATCCAACAATCCACCAAGGTAGACTAGGGAGTTCCAAATTTAAAATCGGTTCAGTCACAAGAGGTTTCTCTTTTATACACATCTCACAATTTTCAATAAGATTTTCAATTTGAGAAGTTATTCCTGGACACCAATAGTTATTTGTTTTACTAGGCAGAAAAGTACAAGATTTAATGCTGCGGCTGGTGTTTCATAGCCGAGGCGTAGCCGAGGCTAGGAAACCAGCCGAGGCATTAAATCTGCGTTTCTGCCATGTAAAACATATAATTTTTTCTCCGAATATTCAAATTCACACATGGACATCTTTTTTATATTTATTTCATTCATTATTATTATCCAAATAATTAAATTATTTTGACAATTGTCATTGTCACCATCAATTTCAAATACCAAATTGAGTGAAATTATTACCTGGAACGTTGTGACACTGTCACTCTTAATGTCTAGGCAGTAAAAGTCCACTTTTACTGCCTAGGCAGTAAAAATACAACTTTTGATCCTGTCAAGTGTCATTAAAAGACCGCTTTTACTGTCATTCGGAGAAAAATAATTTTTTTCCCAGGTACGTAAGTCACAAAATAATCGTAAATTAGAAATTTCATTCTGAAATTTTGCAATCTTACTGTTAATTCGTTAATAGGCTTCTTTGTTAAAATTTCTACCAGAGGCTTATGATCAGTTTTAATTTCAAATTGTTTTCCAAATAAACATTGCCTAAAACGATTTACAGTATACGTTATTCCTAGAGTTTCTTTTTCGATCTGACTGTGACTGTACCCTTTTTTTACTAAGTGACTTAGAACAATAAGATACAGGTCTCCAATTTCCATCTGGTTGTTTTTGCTCAATTATTCCTCCTATCCCTAGCATAGAAGTATCTGCAGATACTCTGATGTCATATTTAACATTATATGCTGCAAAAACTGGAGCTCCTGTTAACATTTTTTTATATCGGAAAAATATTTTTCTTGTTCTGGACCCCATACAAATTCGTTATTTTTTTTGCAAAAATTCTCCTAATAATAAAGTGTAGCAAATTCTTTTACTCTACCTCCATCTCTTTTTGCTGCATTAAAGCTGAATGTGTTAAAAAACTTAAGTAAAAGCATTTGCTTCTGTTTTATTCATATGAGCCAATGTTTCCGGTTTTGGAAATTTCATAATTGCTGGAGTGCATGCATGGGGATATCGGAAACCGTAGGGGATACGAGGTTGGTTAAATTAATGCAAAGTTGCGCAATTTTATGACCAATAAAATTCCGTTTTGAAATTTGAAAAATTCCGAATAGTTCCGAAGATATTCGGAAAAAACCGAAATTTTGCAAAATCATTTTTATTTTTTTCCTGAGTCTATTTGAAGAGCAATTTCAAAATAAATGTCATTTCATCATTGTCACTTTTCTCCCTTTACAAGATTTTGCTACCAAATTTCTGATTCGACGTTTCGTCTTTGGGCGGCCATCATCAACTTCGTTTTTCTAAATACAGAACTGGATTTTTTATTTCAGATTTTTAAAGTTTCTGATGTCCCAAAACCAATGAGATATTGCACTTATTCGAAAAATTTATTTTTTGTCATACGCTCCCAAAAACAGCTATTTTACGGACTCATTCAAGTCCGTAAAATGCTTCTTTTTAGGATTTTTTTTTCTTTCTGGATGCACCTTTATGATTTCAAAAATTAAGGAAATTTTGCAAAGTTTAGCGTTCTGAAGAAATCTAAAAAGCGTATGACAAAAAATAGTGTTTGTCACACATACCTAAGGAATTTTTTTAG